CAGAGCACTTTGCAGTCAGCTGCTGTCTTGCGGCTCTCTGGGAACCACGAGCATCTCGGGGTTGTTGGCCATGGCTGTGGGTTGGAAACACAAAATGTTTGTAGCTCTTGGGGTTAGGGGGAACAGCAGAACAGGAGGGGAGCATGCGCTTCCACAGCTGTAAGAACAGCCAGAGGAGGAGCAGGAGTTGTTCCCCAGGCTCAAAACTGCTAACAGCTTGCCTAGCATGGCTGGTGTGTGATTCTATGCCAGCCAAACCAGGACACTGTCAAAATCTGGTCAAGGCCCCTTCAAGTTGAATGTAGTTCTAGTGTTTAACCATCCTCAGTGGTGGTTTTTTGGTGTTTTTTTTAATTTATATCTAATCAGAATGTTCTGTTTTCCTACTTGTGTCAGTTACCTCTAGCCTTGTTAATGCCATCCAGTTAAGTACTGAGGATAGCAGTCTTTATGCTTCATGGTAAATATGAAAAATTCAAAGAAAAGGACATTATCAGCACTCTAAAGTTTAATTGCTTTGTATATGTAATCCTCTTTAGAAGCTTCAAACCTTCCACACTGAAGAAGTGAATGTTTGCTTTGTAGTCCAGTACTTACAGTATTTATAAAACATTTGTATTTTCTTGCAGAAAATTTATAGCTTACTGTGATACAAATAGAAAAAAGTTAAAATTATTTTATGCAACTGAATTTATTTTTAAATCTGCACTTTAAAAATGTGTCTATTAAATATTGCTATCAAAATGAAGGTTAAGACAAATGATGGTACTTCAGTAATTATTCATGGCTATTGGTGTTGGTTTTGCAGGCACAGTGTGCCCATAATGTGGGGTCTCAATTCCATGAAAAAAGACTTTTAAGAGAACTACTGGTAACTGACTTCTGCAGGATCTTCTCTAATAAGCTTAGCGCCTGATAAATGCGGCATGATGAATTGATTTTGTGAGCCAGTAGTCCCAGAGTTGAAGTGTTACCAGGATTGCTAATAGCCTAATCTGAGATTTGAGATACTTTTTTATCATAAGTTGTTGTTAGTTGTGAATTCTCATCAGAGCTATTTTGTCAGACGAGGCTTCCCTAATGATGATGTTTTTCATTCATAGGAACAATATTATGGTTTTGATGTATGCACCACTGTCAGACCATTCAATGATTTTTTTTTTTTTTTTTTTAATTTGGAAGGGTACAGGCACTTAGAGACTTGAAAAATGTTGAGAATTCTGGATAACAATAAGTGCTTATCTTGCATATATGGGGGGGCAGTTAACATATTTAACTCCTTTGCTGTCCCTGGGCTGCTATGCTGCAACCCTGATTATGATGAGGTGAGAGGTGAATGGGGCATTGGAGTTATCCCAGAATATGTACAGGCTAGCTGATCTTTTTTAAAAAAAAAAATAAAAAATTCAACTGTAAATTATACAGTATGGGAAAATTTTATGCTTCAGAAAATTTTCTTGCCAGAGTTAGGAAAATAGGAGTGAGAAAAGAATCTGAGAAGAAAAAGTGAAAGGAAGAAAAGGGGTAGTACGCTTGGCTTTTTTTTTGTGTGGGTGTTTTTGTTTGTTTTTTTTTTTTTTAAGAACATTACTGTTTCGGAAAAAAATGACTATTTGCAATTGTGAAAATGAGGTACAAGTGAAGTATACACTCTTGTCTTCAGAACAATCATGTATGTATTTGTTCAGCCTTACATATACTCTGTTTAACTTTTAGATAAAATATAAAACTTATTTGAAAAAAAAAATGAACTAAACTTATATTTTGTCAGTACCAGTTGGCAGCAAAGTTCTAAAGCCATGGGATGGTTTTTTGCTTATTTAAAAGGCTGATGATCTAATTGTAAAGCTGAAATACAGGGGATTAGATTGCAGAATGAAATTACCCTTTCTGTAGCACACTCTGACCCAGTGCACCAGCAAACCATTTGCTGGACACAAGCTGCTTGATTATTATTTTTTTAAATCAATTTACAAAGAAAGAAAAAATGGTTTGAAAATTCTAACCAAAAAACCCAAACCCGCCCATAGCAGTAGAAAGAATATTCAGATTTTTTCTCATCTTGATTTTTTTTTCTCTTTGACAGTGACTTGTTATCTTCCAATTATGTGGAGATTCACTATCAAGATGGAAAACAGAAGTTTTCTAAGGTATCGTGCTCTTAAAATGTATCAGGATGGTCTTTCTGAGGGAACAATGCCAATAATATGTTATAAAAAGAAAAAAATGTTTTGTGAGACTTGAAAACGCCAGAAGCTTTTTTTCCACACGTACAAGGTAACTGTGATGTCATCTTGTAAAGATACTTCAGTAATACAAGAAGAATTGCACAGAAAAGGAAAGCTGTGTGTCAGGGTGAGGGGTATGCAGTGGTAGGTGGTAGTAGTGAAGATGGTCCAGATACTGCCAGAACAATTACTTCCTGTAAAATGTAGGGGCTGGAGGGGTTGAAGTCACCATCAGTATCGTCTTCATTAATTATTTACATGTCCTTAGCACAAAGTGCAAGGGGAAGGGATAGTGATAATGTAAGGCATTCAAACCAACCAAAAAACCTTGCAGTCACTTTTCTTTGCAAGAATTATACAGTTGTGAAACGGAAAATGGCTTAACTCCAGAGGTTAAGGTTTCAGTTATTACAAAACCAGCATATTGCTTGACATCCAATTAATTACACTTGTCAAACTAGTTCCCAGATTGAATTTAGTGCCATAAGCTATTGATCCACTGATAAAAAGATTAAAGTCATGCGAGATAGTCCAACCCTAAGGGAACCAGATCAGTCTTTCTTTGTTCTAGTAACAAAATTTGGACTGGTAGGTTCCTAGGAAGGTTATAAACTACATTTTCAGGTAATGACTTTTTTTTTGTATTTGGTATGAATGCTGAAGTATTTGTTGTGAGCTTATTACATGTGAAATATATCTCTGTTTAGAGTGGTGGAAAGCAAGCATTCAAGTTGCATTTATGCCTTCAGCAAGTTGGGACTGTTGTTTGTCCAGGTATTAGATGTCTAGTTTATTATTTTGTTCTTGTTACAGAGAATCTCAAATAAAACAATATATTTAGGGCAAATATTAGGGCAAAATTAAACAATTACATTGCAATACAATTATTGCAATATACTGGTTTGTTTTCTTTCACTAAGAAGAAAAATAGTTTCATGTAATATACTGAGGAAGTTGTTTCATTAAGACTTAGTACTTTGCAGAATAGGCAAAAATGCTAAATGATGCAAGAAAACAATTCCCTCTGGCATTTAGACAAGCTCATGCAATTGTCAGCTGCAGCACTAGCATTGAGCACTGCAGTTGCTGAATCATGAATCTGACTGGAAAATTATATTAGAAATTTAGACTCAGCAAATGGACTACCTTTGCATGCTGCAGTAACTTGATCCGAACTTCCTAGGGGATGTTTTTTGAATTGATTTATTTAGAAGCAATGAGAGAGCTCCTGAGGTCACATTAATCTGTAAAAGGCTTCATTATAAGTTCAGAGGATACACACACAATTTGTGTAAGAGATCAGATAAGGACTGTGTTCTGGTCTTTTGCATGATCTTATAATGCTTTTTACAGCTGAGTAAGTAAAAGATTGGTTTATTTCCTGATGTGAATGTAAAGAAGTGAGATCTTGATGAGAAGTATTGTATTTTTTAGAAGGAGGTAGTTTATTACAGGAGTGGAAACACTGAAGAACAAACAGCAATTTCTTTACTCAAATGCCCGTCTTTTAAATAAAAAGTATTGAAGAGCTACTTGTGTGAGAAAGAGAATCATGATTTAGTTGCTAAAAAGCATGGTGTATGCATTCTCACTAATGAAAAGGTAAATATGTAGTGATTGCTTTCTGTGTAGTACTTTGATTTAATTATGTACAATAGTCTGTTAGGAATTTCAGAATCTGAATAACTCGTTAAATAAGATGCAAAATGGAAATAATGCTGTGCATATTTAAACAAAAAGCATTTACATTGTTGGTACTTCCTTGAGTTATAATCATTGGAGAAGGAATGGGTCCAATGTGCTTGTTGGAATTCAAATCACATGAACCAGAATTAAAGATATTTTGATGATGAATGGTATGTTTTTCAAACAATGTGTGAGAAATACAACCACATTTAAGGGTTTTTAATAAAACTTCTTGAGAATACTTTTTATCTTTAGTTTAGCTGAGGTTATTGTTGGTAGACATAAAAGACCAACTACTTAAATGACATAAATTGATATCATTCAGTTTTCCTCATTTTAGCTTCACTGACACATAGCAGCAGAATTACTGCTGTTTAACAGCTTCTAAATTTACTAGTCCTTTTTCTTTAGAAAAGTGAAAGTAATTCTTCAGAAAGTCCAAGTAAGTTTCTTGGTTTCTTTCTAAACGTTCATAGCTTGAACAGTCTGTAAATGCTGGTCTTGATACTTTATTTCTGTTGATAGAAAATAAATGTACTGTTCTCATTTACTTATTGAAACATTCCTGTGAAGCCAGTTTATTTCACCCTTAGTCACAATAAGTAGTTCTGTAAGCCTCTAACCATCTAATCAGTTTATTCTGCAGCGATTTATGCAATTTTAGGGATTAGTAATTCTGATGACCAGCAATAAGGGTAGAATTAATTTCTGTATCAGAATAGAGATAAAGGATTTAATAATTTGCCGTGTGGCTGTGTATAGTATGTAATCCTAAAAATATGCTAAAGATTTTAGACTTTCATATATTTTTACAATTGAACAATATGAAACTCTTGATAGTGCAGTAGAACTCTACTTCCATTACATGGAGAAATAAAATCCCCCAAATTTAGTACATAGAAGAAAACTAGACCATATAGAGGAAAATGACAAATTGTGGAACTACAGAAAGTAAAAAAAATCCAAGATTTAAAAATATCTTAATGAAATTATTTTAACATTAGTAATTCTTGTGTGTGAGTAGATGTTACTTTGATAAAAGTTATTTCTGAATTTCTCATCTGAATCATTTATTTTTTTGTAGTCTGCTGTTAAGACCTCCTCCTAGAATCTTCCTATCCTCTGCGACACAGAACCATTCTCCCTCTTTCTGACTTCATAAATTTTTGTCTTTTCTACAAAATGAGACTGCTTTAGCTTGATTCATGTAGGGTGCTCTGACACAAAGTAGCTAGTAGCTTTGGAGATAGAGCAAGGCTTTTCTGGATCAGAACTCTAAGATTTGAAGAATATACCAATTCTTCTCTGTGGTATTTTGGTCTCCTGCTTTCTCCTGTTCTCCCCGGCCATATATACACATATTGCAACTTCCCTTACATTCTTGTGGAGAAGTGGAAGACCATACACAGAGCTTCATGGCACCCTCATTTGGCAGCACATTTCTATTCAGCCTAATCCCTGCATCAGTTGACTGTTCAAATCTTGCATTGCAGCATTCACTAGAGTCTCTCGTATCATTAGGGCCTTTGAGAAATGATGTTTTGGATTGCAGTTTTGGATGTAGTTTGCCTGATTTTATTTTTTTTTAGAGAGTCTTAACACTTAAACACACTTCAGATAATTTAAATGTTATTATTTTTTTAAATAGAAGGCAGGAATTTGACTAAAACGTGACTGCTGACATCATTTTCATCCTACCATTTTAAAAATAATTTTGATTTTGCATCTATTTGGAATTTTATGCAGTTAAAATTAAGAGTTGACTTTTAGTACCCTTTTGGATGTATACAGTAAAAATGCAACTGTACACTTTAGTGTTAAACTGAACTCACTTTCTGGCTCATTCATCATTAGTGATATTGGTACTTACAGTCTAATGATGTAACGTTTAAATGATAAATTTTTAGTGAGACAGAATTGGTAGAATCCAGATCTAAGCCAAATACATGCCAGATGATTGATGAACAATGTATCGCTTGTAATTTTAACAAACCTGGAAGGCATCAAGAAACTATTCGATGCTCATGTAACCTGCATTACATAACATTTTTACAGAATCAATGTACAGCAAAGAAATATGCTTAAAAGATCAAGAATTCTGTGACTTCAAGCAAAGAATAACCAATGTTATGGCTTGAGGACTTAGATAAATTAGTCTTTACTAGGCACAGTTTTTCTCTTGTAAATAATTAGGACTAGTCATTGGTTTTTACTTTAGCAATCATTGCTTTCTCTGAAATATTATCTAGTGCGACGTGTTAGATGTGTTTGGTTTTTTTTTTTGCGTTGGTTTAAGCAACAGGTATTAATCAGGATAATTTTGTGTGTGTGATTGTTTTTAAACATTATTAGGGTGGAGAGCATTGTTACTACCATGGAAATATCAGAGGCATCAAGGATTCCAAAGTTGCTCTTTCAACTTGTAATGGACTTCAGTAAGTGGACATTCTCATTTTTCAAAGAAGGCTATTAACTAATTATTACTCTTGAATATTATCTCTTAATAAGTGAGAGACTGAAACTTTACAGGCCCAAGATTTTTGATGTTTTGAAATGCCAGTACCAGCTGTGCCAAACTGCTGGCATTTTTTTTCAGTATCATTGGGATTAATGTCTTTTGATGCTGCCTTATGCGATCTTTGAATATGGTAAGTGCAAATAAATATTTCAACAGATGGTTTATTATGGTAAAGGATAAACAGTTTGCATGCTCAGTATTCATGTATGATTCTGTCAGCCAGAAAACCCGATCTTTTTATTAGATCGTACAAGGAAAAAAAATGGAAGTTAGTCCTTTCTAGGATTAGTTACTGTTAAGTGCAGCTCAGCTGCTGATTATATTCTGCATGCTAATGTGTGTCTTAGGACTTCCCCTTTCCAAGGTCAAATCTTTACTCTCTTTGGTGCTTTGTCATTACATTGACGTTACATTCAGTGTTAGTTCATTAAAATGCACCTCATCTCTTAAAAAAAATTCTTAGCTTTAGCCATATGCAGTAATAATGAACATATATAGAGTTTAGTTTAATCAGTTTTTCAGCCCTAAGTTTGGTTTTGTCTCGTCAAAAATCATATTCTGGAGTCACGTTAATTTCCATGTAATCCTAAATATAATTTCTTTTTCTCCGTGTTCTAGTGGCATGTTTGAAGATAGTACTTATTTGTACTTGATAGAACCGATGGATCTAACCGATAGTGCAGTAAGTTTATTTTTATCTAATTTATTTGGTTTGGGAAAGAGAGTGCACAAGGAATAACAAACGGAAGTATTAGAATCAATCAAGAAATGAGTGACCTCTCTCATGCATTCATTACAAAACCAAAAGTATTTTAGAACACTTGATTGGAATTTAAGGCAAGAAATGTGTAAGTGTGAATTACCTAAGGTTTTTCTCTGCTTTTCTTTGATCTTTCTTTTCCTAGTTATTGTTGATCATTTAGATGTTGGGAGTAGACTAAAAAGACTGTTTCCATAGCAAATGGTTATGGACTGTCAAAAAATGTTTATCAGTTTGCTCTAGTACTTGAACTAAAGGATTTATAAATTCAAAGAAGGGATCTCTGGAAGTCATCTATTCATCCCTCTCTAAATAGCTGGATCAGACTGCTCTTGACCTACTGTGTTTCCACAAAGAGCTTAATGAAGTAGATAATTATATCTGGGTATCTTAGACTTTGTATGTGTTAAGTCAGGGGTCGCTGTATAGCTTAAATTATTCTGATCCAGCATATTCAAATATATGACTATGCTGGATCAGCATGTAGGACTGTATTTCTGCAAAAATCTTGCTAACTGTTACTATTTTTGTAGTTCATGTTAAGTATTTTAATACAGCTGTTCCTAAAGTTTTAGCTGTAAGAGAACGGACTCAATTTCATAGACAGTAGTGTTGTCCGACAAGCTGGGTCCAGTACCTGGTGTGCAACAAGTCAATTGTACACACAGAGACGAGATATTTATTTATTTCAAATACGCACAGAAAAGGCTGCTAGGTGGAAATTCCACAAAGCTAGCCCACCTCGTTGTTTTGCTTTACAGTTGATGTACACTTTACAGTTACATGATTTACTTAATTACTGTGCATGCTCAGAAGGTATTTATTGTTAGGTCTCTAAAACAAAAAATATAAACTAAATTAATTAGCTCACAGATTTTCAAGGGTGTTTTCCTTGAAAAAGTGTTTTGTACTGATTAATGGTCCTTGCCTAGATCGCAAATATCAGTACAAACAAGTAAGACTATCTGGTGGTACTTTCCTGGTTAGAACGTTTCTCTTTTATCAGTCTGTCCATGTTGTTCTTATTCAAGGGAATAGCATTAGTAAGGTATGCATTGCTGATAGACCCACCTGGTCCAGTGGACTAAACAGTGGGCCTTGAGTCAAGTGAAAAACAGGACTGGAGTCTGGGAAAACAGGACTGAGCTTGGGAAAGGATCTCTTGCTGTCAGACCACCTGGTCCATCACACAAAACAACAGGCCCTGAGTCTTGTGAAAAACAGGACCGAAAACAGGGCCGAACTTGGGAAAGAAAAGGAAGGAAAAACTCCACTGCTAAAAAGTAGGAAAAAAAAAATTTCATTGCTTGTTGTACATCAGTAGTAAAACCAGGTAGATTTTTACCTCTTGAATGGTTCAAAGATTTCAGTGAATGATTCTGCAACATTGAGACAGAGAATTCTTAAGGTTTGTATCCTGCTTGGTCTGTAGGATGTATTCCAGATGCTGTATCACAGCTCTCGAGCTTGTCTTGGTCTAGTACTTACCAGTATATGACAAATAATGTAATGCTGCAGAACTGATACATTTTAGTGTCCGTAAAGCTGAACTTACAGTCCGAAGCAAGATCTGCAAAATCTTTGGCTCCTGACACTTTCAAAGAAACTGGATCAACATTCAAAGGAATTGGTGTCATTTGGGTGATCAGTTATTGGGTTGTGAATGAAACTGTAGACACACAGGGAAGTATTACGTCCAGAAAAATTTCTCAGTCTCCTCGGGAACAATGTTTCATGCCATGTGTTAAGCTGTGTAATGCATTTTGATGTAGCACATATCCATAAAGATTGTAAGGCTGAAAACTGACAGCACAAAACCAGTAAGTTAATGGAGACTATATTTATACAACAGTATCCACATAGTGGCAGAAGAGAATTTGACTAAACTGTTTTCTTGCTTGGGTGGACAAAGGAAACCAGGATCTCTTTCTCATTGTGATATTTCAGTAAAACTTGGAAGTAGAGCAAAAGTTTTAGTTATAAAAGTGAGATGCCATCTGCCAACTCTATTAAGGATTCAAGTGAAATTCTAAATGAAAAGACAGATGAGATAAATATTTTTCTCAAAACTACTGAAGATCAAAATAATACAGCTATAGAGAGCTTTAATTTTTTGGTTGTACTATGTGAGATAAATATCTTGCACACAGCCTTCAGCATGTAATTTGTTCAGCTTGATCAATCTCAACTATAGTAGATACTGTATAAAACTTTTTTCTGCCCCCTCCAAAAGGTGCAGTATTTTCCTTCAATGTGTATGTATACCTTACGGAAGTTACAAAATAATGGCATCCTACCTTTGAAAAGAATTGCTTGTTTTGGCAGGCTCTGCAAAGGAGGTGTAACGGATGAGAGAGAGTTGTTTTCTAGAGCAGATACCAAAGTGTGGTAATTTGGGGCATGTCAGACTTCTAAAGAAAATATGCATTGAAAGTCTTCTCCTTTCTAAGTGTTGCATGCACCAGTAAAACAGAGTGAAATAATCCCTGTAAAGATAGTGTATTGATTAGTTTCTTGCATTTTGCTGCAATTAGAAAGATACGTTTTTGTCGCGAATAGCAATAGTTGCTTTTTATCTGTGGGAGGACAATTTCAACTAGATATGTATTCTCTGATTTGATTTATTGGAATACGTGCTCTGTGTTCTCTAACACTAAGTCTTTAAAGGACTTCTTTCACATAATCTGAAAGACATCTCTGATATTTCAGTTTTGTAGGCCAGTAAATGTGCTGAAGCAGAGAGGCTCCATGGTTTGCTCAGGACTGCAAACAGATTGCTTCAAATTAGTACTATGCCAAACTATGGTTGCTTGCATTTTATGGAAAAATAATTAAAAAATAATAAATATGATAAATACTGAAAGAAGTGCCTCACTTTTCACTCAACACTATTAATTAGAAGAAAATGTCATGTATTTTTATTACCAGGAAAGTAAAAGTAGACCGCATATCATCCAAAGAACTTATGGAACACAAGCCTCCAAGCAGTTGCAGGACCCTGGTATGTTTTTGCTTATGTTGTGAGTTTTTCAGTATTAGAAATATTTGTATATATAACTTGAAAAATTGACTATTAGGCTAATATAAATTCTATATAAAATTGCTGACATTTAGAAAAACTTTGAAAAATAGATATTAACCTGATGCTTTTCGCCATTGCAATGGAATTTAGAGTTGTCAAAAAGCAGCTGAAAGATTTCCTCCTATAAAGACCTGTGTTTAGCTTTCTTCTGCAAATCATTTAATTTAATCAGTGATATTAATGCTATTGAGGATGGAAGATGGAAGAAAACATATTCTAAACCAGGGTTACAATCTGTTTGCCTCCCCTCGCATGCTTTATTTCTAACTGTAGATTTCTAAATTACTTGAATTTTGAGATGAGATATTTTACATTTTGTGTATTTTAAAAAGAACTTTTCAATAGCAAAGGTTCTTCTAATTTTGGTGATCTTAATCTGCTTTTGATTTGGACAGTGTACATAAGTAGTTTAAAATAATGCTATGAAATTCTTAAATTGTAATTTGTACAGAGTCTGAATCTAGTTCTGAATGGCCATTTCTGTCTGAACTACAGTGGCTGAGGAGAAAGAGAAGAAAGAGAGCAGTGAGTAGAAGTGTGACCCTGAACTAAGACCTTTTATAAAAACAAACCCAAACCCACTAATTTCAGGATTTTTTTAATGTTGAGAGAACCCAGGCTTTAGAAAACAAGTATTTTTAGTAAGTTAGCATTGTTACATAATTCAATTATCAAATGATAAGATTATCCTTTAAAAACAGAATATTTGGAGAAAAGTGGATAAACTTTATAAAGTGACAGCAGTATTATCAAGTTTAGTAGTGAGAATGAGTTTAGAATTTTAAGTTTTGAGACTGCTGGAAGATAAAGAATAATTTAGAATCAAAACTTGCTATTTATAGGTATCTGACTTTATTTTCATTTGGCTTGTTAAGTAGCATGATTAAATTAAAAATCCAAATAAGGACACACGGAACTGAGTTCTTGGGAGAATAAAGTGGACAGTCCTCGTGACCTGCACATGCATATGTGCTGGGTGAATTATTGAGTTAAAGAAGATTAATCTGCACTTCTTTACTGAGTCGCACAATCCACAGTGTATTTTTTGAGTGCACATCTATTTTTAGTAACTTTCTTCCTCATTAAATCTGTGATGAAAAGTACAGTAGACCAAGAGGTTTTTAGTGTTTGAGATTCTTCTCCTTTGTGAAAATAAGAGAGGAGGGAATCAGTGGTGGTTTCTGTGCTGAACCAAAAAGAATAGACTCTAAACATTCTTAATGATGTGACTCAGATTCTCAGCCAGTCTCTATCATAATTCACTATGATTATTTACCCTAGTTGAAAGCCTGACCCAGTTTTTACAGGTTTATGCACTCTACATAATATTTATGGGTAATCCGATTAAACAGCTGCATTTTTTTAATTTTTTTTTTTTTTTTTTGGAAAATCACTGTATCTTCATGATTTCTCAAAGAATTCCTTTAATCCATCAGGTATCTCGTGGTATCTTTGAAGAAATGAAATATCTGGAGCTCATGATAGTCAATGACCATAAAATGGTAAGTGTATCAGTTCAGTGGCAATCTTCCTTTTGATTATAATTTGTAGGTTGATGTACAGCACTGTGCTGCATCAGCTACTTTTGGGTCAAATATTTATCAGCAGCTCTTAAGATTTGTACTGTAAGAGACAGTATCAGTCATAATACCTAATAATGCTTAATGTTACCTAAGATTTTTTACAGCAATTATATGTTCATAATACATCTGAAACACTTTGGCATCGTATGTATAAGTTAGTATGCCCATAACCAGAAACGTAAAGCAATAAAACATTTGTCCAGAACAAACACACTAAATGTTCTAAAATTACATCCTATCCTTAAAGTAATAAAGAGGTCAGAACTTGTTACTTTGAGTTTAGTTTTACTAACTTAGCATATAGACAAAACTATCTGATTGTTCTTCCTGGCTATTCCACGCTTATAAATAGGATTCATAATGAAGTGCAAGGTAAGTTGTTTGTTTGATTCAGAAAGTTTGTCATTTGATTTTTGAAAAAAAAATAAGCGTGTGAGGGAAGCCCACTTTTTTTTCCTTTTGTCTTGAGAGATGACTGAAAAAAATCAGAGCAAATGGCATTTAAAACAACTTGATTGTGCCTTGTTCTGAGCCCTTGACTTGCTTTGCTTTCTTAGCTATTCATTGACTAAGAGGCAAATAAGGATCATCAGCTCTTAGTATGACTTTGCTTCTGTGTGAGCAAGACTTTTATTTTGAAATCAAATTCTGTTGATAACACAGTTTCTTCTTATTTTATGTGCAAGTAATGTAAACTTTTAAGTTTCTGTAAGAGCTCCTTGCATCTCTCACTCTAATGAATGTTTTCGCAATGCTTTAGCTTGTTGCGGGCCCTTTATTCAACACCGAATGATGATTTTAAAACAGCAGGTACCAGAACAGGTTGCAGTATTTTCTACTTGTTCTAGTGCTGAATAGACAAATAATACAACCTTCCCTCATCTGTTTAATAAATCATAGAAATAGTCTGGGCAAAAATGACCTATGTTTAATCTGTGTCAGTTAGCAGTGTGGGGGGAATTTGAATGGGTGGAAAGAGTATGACAGAAATTTCTTCAACTGTTTAACTTCTAAAGCCACCTGGTAGGAAACTATTCTGAGTGCTGATGTGTTAGTTGTTTTAGGGTTAGGGCCCAGTAAATGAAGTTACGGGCATTTTGTGGTCTTGTTTGAGATCTGTGGTTGGTGTTCCTTCTGAAGACGTTGTATTTCTATGTCTGTTTCCTCTGGCCCCTCGCATTACAGACAGGCTTGAAGGACAACCATTCTGTTTGTTGTACTTGTTACAGATGCTGACTGTTGTCTCCTCTCAGGCTTTCTTTCTTAGAACTTTAAACCACAAGCATTCAAGATTTTTTACTTCAGAGTTGTCAGTGACTCAGAAGCAGATAATAATTCTTTTCAAGGAATAAAATGGTTATACTTAAGGAAACGTTCACAATTACGAGTTAAACTGCTAAGCCGGGAGCTCACTAAATGCAGTTCTGATGTTTTCTGCTCCCAGTAGAGGGCGGATTTCTCCTGCAGCAAGGTTCTGTGTGGGAAAAAGTATTTTAAACCTCTTTGGCCATTGTGTTGTTAAGTGGTTAATACTATGTATTTTCACAAATTTTTCTTTCGTGTAATGCTAAAGACACAGCTAAATGTATTTGGTTACATTGTTGCACTTTTTACTGACTTAGATTAATTTCTGTTTTAGGAACTGTGTTTAAACACTTGATGTTCCTTGTTGCTACTGATGTTGGTACCTAAATACTTTAAATAAAACCAAGAACATTTTCCAAAGCACGTTATTTTACCTTTCCATTTCTGGGAAAGTTGGGATTGGTGCAAAACAAAAAGCCAAAGCCACCTTTCCCTGCTCCTCCATTATTTTGTTCTAGTGTCATGGTTCCTTGGGGAGCAAACAGAGTCCTGTGATACAGATACTCAGTGTGCATCCCAGGTGCCTCCTAGCACTGTAGCTGAAAGTGCTTTGCTTTGAGAATAGTTTTAGGGGAGGGAGTCTCTGAAAACTTAGGTTGTAGGGTATTTGAGAATTAAAACTTGCTGTGGATTTGCTGAAGCATTGTGAAACTCAGCGGTGAATAACTGCATATCTAAAAAATTTTATCTTCCTGCAGTCAAATGAATGAGTGTAATCATTAAGTTTGAACTTTTTGTTATCTCTGTGGCATTTCATCCATATAAAACTAGCTTGCTTATGCAAAAATAACTAATTTAAAAGGATGGAAAACGTGTTATCTAATAATACAACACACACAAGAGTGTGTTTGTCACTCTTCTGACTTTCAATTTGAGAAACAGATTATTTAGTTTTAAAATCATTAATGTCTTCCAGTTTTACTTTCACCTTCACACCAAGCATAATTTTGAAAAACAGAGGATGTATCTGTTCTGTAATCCTAATTTGGCAAAATAGTTAATCATCTAATTTATTTGATGAGAGTAGCTACTTGGTTGCTCAGAGAAGAGTCAGACCCTCTTGTTTCAAGGCCTCTTTTTGGGTATTGTATTTCAGAGTGGGAACAGCTGACACTTTGATGGAACTTGATAGTGTTTGCTCATGAGGTGATGAGATTTGTTGCTTTCAACCAGTAGTTTAAACTAGTAAGAGTTTTTTAATAAATACTTTTTACCCTCTTTGTTCTATGCAATTTCATGTTCCTTTTCTGTGAAATTTTGAAGACTTATTTTCCTGCCTGCAAGTCATATTGTGTAATACCATTTTGGTTTGTAATTTTACAGTTTTTTGACAGTCGTGGATTTGTGTTCAGATACCATAGCAGCATCTTTGGAAAATTTGACTCGGAACAGAGGGAACTTGTGGGACAGGATGAGGAAAGACATGAAATGATTGTAATGACATACACAGAAATTATGAAACAGAACTTGTAATACCAGCTCATATAAGTCTATAGAAATGGAAAAAAATTGAAGTTAAAACTTAAAAGATTCAGCTTACTCTTTCCACATGCAAATACATATTTACTTCTACCATGCACTTCCTCTTTCTTTTTGACTGTTATAAATAATGCTACTTGTCATAAATTTTTGTGCTGTGGTAGAGAAAGGATGCCTTTCCAAAGAGCTGTACACAGGTCAAGTGGTAAATGCTTCATCTTCCTGTCTTGTAATTATAGTCATGGAATGTGGCTAGTACAGTCTGTTATTTAACTCATCAGGTTAAGCATAGTTTTAATGGGTACAGCAGCCTCTAAATTTTGAGCTCGTGTTTATGTTCGTGTTTACCTGTAATTTTGTCTCAAACATTTGAATTCTGATTCTAAATAGGATATTTCTTGTGGCTAAATGCTCCTTTTTATAGACGTGAAAGGCTGTCTAGCTTACGTGGCATCCTTTATCTTCCAGGGATTCTTGAATAGATAGATAGCTGTCATCTGAAAAGCTTTTTGATTTTTTTCTTTACTCTTCCTTAAAATGCTAACTTTCCTTTCTTGCTATAAAAATAAAGGATTAGTAATAAATATTTTTCTTACTGTGTTCTACTTTTTCTTCTCCTTTTAGTTCAAAAAGCACCGTTCTTCAAATGCATACACAAACAATTTTGCAAAGTCTGTGGTAAACCTTGTAGATGCTGTAAGTATCTATGTTTCTTTTGAAAATTGTAGCACTGACTTTGTTAGTTTAGGACTGTGTTTAAAAAGTTAACATTAGCAGATATAAGGATAAAAAAAAATGAGCAGCTATAAAAATTGCATTTTAAAACTAATTTCCAGTTCATCTGCAGAAGAATAGCCTGGGGTGAATGTGTAAGAAACCACCAGATTATCCTGAGCGTTTTTCTCAAAGCTTGCAGCTGCCAGAGTTTGCCCTTGGCAGTGGGGGATTTCAAACTTGAAGGAGCTTTCAGTATCTCTCACTGCTTAAGAGTGAGTTTTAATCAAGTTTAGATTTGTAAAACAAATCTAACCATGACTGATTGAAGGTACAAGTATGGTTCACAAAGGATACATATATCTATTGGGAGAAAAAGAGAATGTGAATAAAAATCCTCCTTCATAATTCTGTATTTATAGCTTAAAACCAAACAAGATCCCATTGTAGCACACCATAAACAAGTGGCATTGACACAGATACCGTATTTGTGTCTGTGACTAAATTTAGAACAATTTCTCTTAGAGCGAAAAAACTAAAAGTAAGAGATGTGGTAAAATTGGTGGGTTTTTTTCTCTTTGATATACATATAATGACCACACACATTTCAGAGCTGTGTTTGTAGTTGAAAACAGGATAGGTTCTCTAGTAGTGATGAATACAAAGGCTAGCAAAATTCTGACTCTTGAAGTCCCCTTTCCCTGTGACATTACCGGTATCAGTAGAACTGTGTGATATTATTCTGTGCAAAACATTGTCAACGGTTTGTTTAGTTCAGAGGAAATGATACAGAATTTGTTCTTTGTATCATACATATAAAGTATTATGAATAATACATGTATATTGAAAATTTGGATGAATATAATACATGAAATATTGGAATTGTTTTGGAATATTTTTGTGTAATGATCTGAAAATGCCAGTAGTCTGAAGAAAAGTTATTGGAGCAGATAAAAATATAAATAATTGAGATCATATTTCTGCAATTTATATTGGACGTTCCCAAGGAAAGGGTACCATCTTCATTTTTTTCTCGCATGATCATTATTTCTTTGTATTCTGCATTTTAACAAGAGTTATTTAATCTAGCTTTCCTTTTTCTGACTATTCCTTCTGGTTTTCCATTTTTATTTGCTCTGTGTGTGTACTCGGAAACATTCAGCTTCTCTCAAATGTTGAATTCAGTCCCCTCGTAGAGATCTTGCAAAATGACATCTTAATGACCTTTAAACAAAGCATGAAAAGGAGCAGGAATTTCCGCCGTATTTCCTTGTGTTCACAGGGAGTGGGCTGTATATCTTACTGATATGTTACTGGGAAAAGGATATTAGCTTTCAGAGGCTTCCAGGTTCTCTGCCCTCTCTTCCATTCTTTCCTTCTTGTTTGCTTCAGGAAATATGGTTTTCCTCTCAGCAAACACAAGTCTTTATTGAGCCACCCATGTGTAATTTCTGGGGTTTAATTTTATTGATTTTTCTCATGTCATTAACCATTTTCTGGGTATGTCCTCAGCCTATCTTCCTCAGATTGAAGCATACTAATATTCTTTTTTCCTTCAAACTTCTTGGACATAATTGAGCTTAGCTGGTTGCTCTCTCTTGCTTTTGCCTCCTTTCCTAAGCTGAATATTATACATTGACTTTTTTATAAGGATAACGCTGCCTTGACACAAAAGACTGGCATGCTAGTCAGTGCTAGTTTATTCAGTATAAATATCCTATCATAACTGCAGGAGGTTATTTGCAGTCCATGTTGCATATTGTAGATATAATTTGGCACAAAGAAAATAAAAGCATGTATTTAGTATGGTGCCTCATGGAAGTGACCAAATAACTTGCCTTTTGTATATTTTACGCATTAGACAGCCAACATATTAATTATCCCCTGCTTGTAGATCATAACTAAGTATGATCAGTAGGTGTTCTTTGTGTCACATGTAAGACTTTTGATGGTTTGATGGGCAGATTGTTTATTGCAGATAAGGAATGCATCTTTTGTAGATCTGCAAGTTCTGAATAACCTTAGTTAATACAATTTGGCATTTTATGACCTGAACCGAAAGAGAGCAGCAGTTTTATTTCAGAATCAAGTATCATGCACAAAGTTAAAATGGATATTTTAAACCCATTTTGTAATTATTAGGGCCTGACTGTCATTTCCTATTGCTACAGTGACATTAAAATTAATAGAAAAATTAATATTCTTAGTTAATTCTCACATTACTTGAGATGAGTGATCATACTATAAATGAAAATCAAGTATTATGTGAATTGGATTTTGGACATACTGGAGAACTGAGAAATTATTTAATCTTGACTTAAGAATTGGCTTTGGCTGTTCTTTGTCTTTGAGATTGCCCAGCATACCTTTGCAGTTCTTCTTTGTTGATTTTTGTACACATTTTCTGCAAAACTCAGTGGTGAAATTACTTGACATGAGAATTTTAAAGAAAAGAGTAGCTCAAAAAAGAGCAGCAAGGTTTTTGTCCTCTAAAACATAAAATTTAAGTTGATCAGGATATTATCTTTTAGGAAATCCAAGGCATTACCAGCTAATTGTTTCCCCGTGTTTCCCTCCTGCTTTATCCCTCTTGTCCTTCCGCTTTACTCTTACTGGCTGACTCTGCATGTTTGACCCAGTGTTCTACTCCTATGCCTGTCCTGTCTCTGCCCTCAGATATACAAGGAACAGCTGAACACCAGGGTGGTTCTTGTTGCTGTGGAAACTTGGACGGACAGAGATCGTATTAATATTCACCCTGACCCTCTGCAGATGCTTCATGATTTCTCCAAATATCGACAGCACTACATCAAACAGCATGCTGATGCTGTGCACCTGCTCTCGTATGTACCATTGTACAATGGTTTAGACTATTACAGTTTCATAATCTTTCTGTCTGCTGCTTTTGTCTACCTGTCTCTTGCTTACTTTTTTGCTTGGTAGTCACTACATCAATCAACATCTGCCTTCCTTAGGAAGCTTAATCTATTTTTTAACATGTTAGTCTATTTTTAATAGGTGTAGCATATACCATGGTCACGTTGATAGATATCTGTAATGAAATTTTAATGTCTTTGCAACCTGGAGACAATGTCACATATTTGAAATGTCTTCTGATGAGCCCTTAAGAACACCTAGTTTTCCTAATCAGGCATGTAATATACTGCTTTCCCAGTAAAGAGCAGGAGAGGGCAGAGCTGACAGTATTATGTGTTGGCACAAGAGCATTCCAGTTACAGTTATTTATTCATGCTTATAGCTGCAGCGATGATTTGCTAATGGAAGGTCTCATCCTTTAGAGTTCTAATGAATTGTTTTCTGAGACACAATGCATTTTGAGGGGAAATTCCACTTGCATCATTGGGCATAACATCAACCTTGGGCAACAGTATTTTTTTACTTCATGGCATTGTAAGCAAAGAGGAGGAAGAGCCCGTTCTCCTCTGCAGCATAAAGATCTTAAGCCTTCTCCCAGCAGCATGCCATACTCAGAGGACGGAGTGACAAATGTCTGCCATGCGATTCTCCTATCATTCATCTTCTGCAGAGGAAGATAAAAATAGGGCCTGAAAAGTATCCTCCAGCCTCTGTCATAGCTGTTCTGCCTTAATACAGGCATTGCAACACAATGCTAATTGCGTTTTTTGTAGCACATGCAAAGTGCTGATGATGTGCACTCTTAATTACTTTTATGCATGTATTGCATCACTTGCTCAAGAGTTTGTCAGCAGGCAAGCAGACTCTTCTCAGTGGTGCATGGCAAAAGGTACCAAATACAGACTGAAATACAGGAAATTCCGTTTGAACATAGGGAAAAAACCTTTCACTGTAAAGGTGGTCAGATGCTGTAGCAGGTTGCCCAGAGAGGTTGTGGAGTGTCTGTGCTTCGAGATATACAAAAGCCAATGGAACATGGCCCTGAGCAGCCTGCTCCAGCTGAGCCTCCTTGAAGCAAAGTGGTTGAAGTAGACCATTTCCAGAAGCACCTGCCAACATCAGCCCTTACTGTGGTTCTCTCTGTTGTAAAGCAGCTAGCTTTAGGCATTTAGTATAGATAAGCTGCAGTTTGAAAGTTCTGATGGCTGTCAGAATGTTCTGAAAAAATAAACATATACCTGTCTGGAGTATCCTGTCATTTAAAAAACTAAAAGGGACATTGATTCTGCTATTCTAAAAGGATTTAGTTTTCAAAGATCGGGATCATTTGCTGTCCATGTCCAAGGCTGTGTAGATTTATTATTATGCCTATGAAGTTAAAATAGGTATAATTCATTTATATCTTCCAAATTACATTAACTTAACTAAATATTTAGGGCTTATTATCAATAAATGAAAGGAGGCAGGGTTAAAAAGCAGTATTAAATTACTTTTAGGTAGCCTTCTCAGTCTTTTGTTTTGTAGTTGAAAACAGAACTTAAATTGGATTGGATTAAGAGCATAATTAAAAAACTTCTCAACACTAGTACATTTCAGTACAGAATTGCTTCCTGACAGGTTATACATTAGAATATATAGTTATCTTTTTAAAGGAAATGGTATCATTGTATTTTCTTAGGAATCTGGTACTCTAGTTTTCTCTGCTTTGTTTGGTTTTGGGTTGGGACTGACTCGAAGGTTGTATGTATCTAATAGACACTTTCGATGCCGGTGTTCTGTTTGTAAACTTGCCGTTGCTTTTGATGCTAGGTGAAGATTAACGTGCATGCAATGTATCATAGTATGTGTGAAAGTGTGATCTTTCAATAAGTTCTTGGTGCCCAATGTCAATGTGTTATATTTTCTTTATTTGTTTGTAAGGAATGTGACATTTCATTACAAAAGGAGCAGCTTAAGTTATTTTGGAGGGGTTTGCTCTGTGGCCAGAGGAGTAGGAGTGAATGAGGTAATTTTTTTTCATGACTAAAGTGAAATAAAATAGAAACTGTAAATTATAACCTCAGAGTTTATATCTTTCAGTATTCAGGGCTTTAAAGATAACTTACATATTAAAAAGTTAGGATTCTCACACCTATCCTTCTTGTGTCGTCATTAAACTACTGCTCACTGTGCTTTTCTTTTTAAAAAGCGTTCCTCTTATCTGGAATGTTCTCTTAATAAGATCTTAAATAGGATTTTAGTATATTTGACAGAAATTTAGACTCCAAAATCTCACACGGGAATATTTGAAATACAGAACTGAACATCTTTTTGGGTCTTCTCGCTATTAGAGGCTTGATCTTCTGAGGTGCTGATGATGTGTAATTCTTACTGATTTTTTTTAACAGTAAACTAGAACAATTTGATCACTGTGTATTGTTATTGTTGTTGGTTTGTTGTGGGTTTTTTTGCTCAGTGCAGTGTTAAATCGATAATGAAAGTCTCCTTTTTTAACATGGGTTAATCATTCTATACAAAACTATATTATATATATATATATCAAACAAACTCATTTGTGTAAGTTAACCAGCGGGATTCCTTCAGGTTAAGAGAGGAAATTTTTTTCTATTACATACTTTGTTGTGTTTATTTTCCTTATACGTTCACAGAATTATGACTGGCTGTACAGAATTACTGAAGTAGTAGATATGTGGTAAGCCAGAATGAGCTGGTGTAGTGTTCATTACCATAACTTGCTGCTTTTTTTATTTGTTTTTGTGTTTTGTTTTGGTTTTATTGCACTCCTCTTGAAATGCAGTATGGCCTCCCTTTGGCCATGGCACAGGAACTAGCACAAAGTCTTGCTCAGAACCTTGGAATACAGTGGGAGCCAGCTGCCAGGAAACCGAGTATGTACATGGACATGGACTCTTCTTTTGTCCTCTTTAGCTAAATATATAAACATTTCCTTTGCAATATTTGAAACAAATACCAAACTTGCTGTAACTATAGAACAAGAATTGCTGCTTTTGGAAATATACGCACCAAAATTTGAGTTTAACCAAAATAAGACCCACCAGTTTAGGTCTCATTTTGCAATTACCTCAGTGGTGACCTGTGCCAGGAGGTTAGATTCATAACCAACATTCAAAGGTATAATGGTAAAAACACCATGATTTTAACTCAGAACTCCTTATCTATCATAAATCCTATAGAACTATCATTGACTTCTTAAAATACAAAATTACCTGATTTATAATTGAAGAAATGGTAAGAAGCTGTAACCTAGTCCAGGGTGACGTTTGTTCAACTTGTTACCTTACTGCGTCACGGCCAGAAGGTTAGACTGACTTGGCCTTAACGCATATAGAGTGCAGGTACAAAAGTTGCTGCAAAAGCCCTTTTTGAGGCTAAAGAACATTGTTTAGGTTTTCCACTTGCATCTATTAAGCAATTTGGCTACTTCTTCTCTTTGTTTCTTCTTTAAAAATGTGAATGATAATGCTGACTTTATTTTGGAATTGCTTCAGAAATCTGTGAATTAGGAAACGATGTGGAAAAGTTTAGGGAATGTTGTTTTGTAAAGCATTGTTTTTGAATTGTGTAAACTTGCAAATTGCTAAAATATTTTCTACATCATTGGGTTTTGATTACAGGTAAAACAGAGTTCATATAATTTGGAAATCAGAATCTTTTTTAACTATAAGAATTTTTTTAAATGATAGCTTCGTTTCGTTATTTGGATACCCTTTATAGAGAAAGATTAGTGAAAGATCTGGATTGAGCAGAGATAACCATGTAAATAATCTGTGAATATTTTCAGTGGAGAAACAGTATGGATTTGGAGCAGTAGCTAGAATACAGAATGTTTCTTCTTGAAAATATTACTACTTTGGTACATAATTTCTGTGAGTAGTTTGTAACTTCTGTTTTAACAACCATAAGATGTTGATCTTTTGTTTTTATTTTATGAATTTGATCACTGTTGACTTACATGCTATAGCTGTAAGTAAACTGTAAATCCATTTTCACTCAACTACTTTTTCTAATGAATGTTTGATTGGCTGATTCCATATTACTATTAATAATTCTATGCAAAAGGGAAAAAACGTGGCCTGTCCAATAACAATTCTCCTTCAGGGTGTTTTGTGCACATTTTAGGGAAGAGGAAATGCAAACATTTTTAATCATCAGTATCATGTGTACTGAACATACCCTTGTGCTGCCTGGTTTGAGAGCATGTAGGCAAGAACATTGCCGGCTATTTTTAGCTTTCTATACTGCCTGAAACTTAGTGTTGAGTTTAAGAACATGCACATATGGTAATATGAAAATACCATGTTTATATTAAGTATATTAGTGTCTCTTCAAGTGGGCTGGTTTCCTTTTCAGAGGTAGAATCTGTACAGCCAAGCAACCATCTAACCTTTGTATAATTAGTCAAGGTCCATTTTTGTAGTGGTTACTTTATATTTATTGTAAGCATATTTATAACTGCTTTCCTTTTCTGTTGTATTTTGGTCTTGTCTGAGAAGAGTGTGACTGCACTGAATCCTGGGGTGGTTGCATCATGGAGGAAACAGGGTATGTCATAACTATCAGTAACTGAGGGCTCTGGAATGAGTTCATAGTTTACATTATGACATAAATATTTATGTATTGGGTTTTGTCCATGTGTTTTAGTGCTACTAAATGAAAAGCTAGAAGCAGTTGGAACAACCCAAACATACAGATCATTTATTTCAATTTTCAGCAATTCTTTCCCTTTGCTATTCACATTTTAGGAAGTTATTCATAAATCTTATATTTTGAAGTGCAATGCAGTGTATTCACGGATGCTTGCTATAGTTTCAATGATTGAAAAGTAAAGAATGTATATTAATTAAAGAAATCCAGTTATACTTTCTACATGCTGCTGAAAAAGTGTTACAATACAGTTGTATAAGTGATATTTCTATTTTCCTCCTAAATTTTAATTATTTTTTCCTCCAATTCCATCAAAATTCTGATTTTGAGTGAACAGATCTCTCTCTGCTTCTGTCCCAATGAATAAAAGTAGAAACCTGAAGCTTTTAGCAAGTGCTCTCAATCCTTATCTAAGTGGTCAGTGAAGTCCGAAGGGAAAGAACATCTATATTGGAGGAAACCAGGCTTCATTGCCCTCTGCCCTCACACACTACCAAACACAGGTTTTTGAGTCTTCTAAACCACTTCCTGTCAGAATTCTTGCTCACCCTGGAAGATTGATTGGATGGAGAGAATTAGTTATAACTAAGACAGAAGGGGTTTAGTTTCTTCATACAGTATTTGGAAATTGAGTCTTCAGTAGGATTACTGTGTGGCTTTCCTGTAGACTTGTAATTGTCAGCCACCGTATGAATGCAGCAGAAAGTGATTCAGTAAGCTTGCCTCTGGAATCGAAAGTAAGGCATTGATCAGAATAGATACTGGCTTCCTTCCTATGGTGAACTTAAAGTATCAGTCTCTGATGGAAATAACAGTAGAAGAGGTTATGTAACAGTAAAAAAAAAAAAAAAAAAAATGCCAGGAGCAGATGGTAATCACCCAGAAGTTGAAAAAAGACTGACTAATGAAATGAGTGAATAATTAGCTGCAGCGTAAAGCTTTTCACTTAGCTTTGTCAGTGGGGAAATGTCAGCAGTGAGCTGCTAGAAAAGGAATGGAGAACCTCCTTATGGCATGATTACCCTCATCTTTAACAGTGTGAATAGTTCTTGTTCCCAGATCTCAAAACATGGCTAATAAAAATATCAGACAGTTTCCATGTGAGAAATGATTGATAAAGAATGATTTCATCAGGCTGGGAAAAAGATGGAGAAGAGGAAATATGTGAGAAGTCTGTAACATCATGAACAAGATAGCAAATTACTACAGTTTCTTCCAGTGTAAGAACTAGGGACACATGAAATGAGACTAGCAAATAGGTGACAGAAAAACAGGATGAAATTGTTCTTCTACCAGTCTGTAATTAAGCTGTGAAACTTCTTGCTATAGCATCTTGCAGAAGCAAAAAGATTCTGGGCAAATTAATGTGAGAAAATACAAGATTATTAAATAAGACAAAATAAGGCTTCCTGAGAAAGTAATTAAGCTGAAAATTGTTGGAAGCTGGAAAATAATTCTGCAAGTAGTAGTACAGTGCTCTGTTCTCTGCGCTTCCCTGGGCATATTCTCAGGGCCAGACTCAGAGGTGGGATTTGGGTAAAGTGGATATTTAGTCTGACCCTATACAGCTGTTCTTATGGCCACGATTACTTTTACTTTAAAAATTAACCTTATTAACAGGATCAGATTAATTGAACAGTTTTAAAACCCTGGCACGAAATCAGGGATCTGGAAAGTAATCCATCTTTTAAACTGAAGCTGCAGGGAAAACAAATCCAAAAGAACAGTGGCTTATGTATGCAATCAAGGGGGTGCATAGCAGCTATTACAATAATGTGGTTTCACCTTAAGAAGATCAGAAGACTACAGTTTCATGTACTGTAGGTCAATATAAAAATGCAGAATGTTTAAGAACTTTTTCTTTTGTTCTGATTTCATTGTTTGAGAATAAGACCGAGCTGACATACTGTTGCACACAGTGGTTGTAAGAAACTGGGATTTACAGTATTAAAAAAATGTTTTGAGCCATCCACCTCATTCCAGTAACTGTTGGTGTTTCAAGACACTTACTCAGCTAATGCTTTACCATTTTAGGGTATACCATTCCAGGAAATTCTCCAAATGCAGCATTGCAGAATACAAAGAATTTTTACTTCGTGGGGGAGGTGCCTGTCTTTTCAACAGGCCAACAAAGGTAATAGATATGTTGGTAGTCGACATCTCTGCTAAAAATTGTAATGAAAATGTAATCATTTCACTAGCGCCCATCTGTTCTGAAATTTGTTCAAATGTCTATGTGGGTATTTTCTTGAGAATTAGCTGACTGTTCATTCCCATAACATTTAAAAAATAATCTTAAAAGGAATGCAACTTGTTTTCCATCGATTCTTCATGCTCAAATAATGACAGATATTGCAGTTGATTTTTCACAGCTCGATACATCCCCATTCAACATAAATGCACTACTAATTAAGGAAGTAGTGCAAAATAAATCCAGAAGTAAGGTCATAGGGCGTGTTCCACATATACTCAATTCTTGGACTTTTTGCCTGAGGTTGTTGAAAAGAATGCCAATTGCCACACTAGGAATTAGAAATCAATAGCTTACTTCATAAGACAGTAGCAGCTTGTGGTTGTTCTCAAAGTTAACTTCATTTAATTTCATTTCATATGTACATATAGCAAACTCTGTAATTCGTATCTGTTTCCTTGTACCATCCATTGCTTTTTTTGCCTAAAAATTTATCAAGGTCATAATTTTTTCTAGGGCATTATTAGCATGACGTCCTTCTAAAGCTGAGCAGGATAAAAATATTCCACGTGGCTCTTTTTGCAGAGTAAGATCAATCCAAAGTATTAATATTCTATTGAATCATGGTGTCAAACTTGGTGTCCTTGTAGAATTTAATACCATATGAGACTATTAAGCTGTTCTGTTTACTGTGCTGTATCCTTTGGTAGACCACCGTCTTGCGCAATTAACTAAAAAAATTTTGCTTGTTAGAGTGGTTTTTAATCTTTTCCCAGAGTAGAAATCTTTGCTTATAGAATAAGAATTTAAGAATTTTTACAGGAAAGAGTAAATAGGGAGAAAGAACACAGCTTCATTTTTTGATGATGGTTGTCTAGCAAGGTAGTGGGACCAAATTGCCAAATCTACTGTATACAGAATAAAAGTCTGGTTTACTTCCGTGAAAATGCACCCAGGAAGAACGGTTGAATTATCTTTATATGTTAACTGTGTCAGTGTTTCACAGCTTTGAAGTTAAAGTACTTTGGGGAAAAAAGAAATCATACGGTGTTTTGAATGCTATTCTTTGAAGCTTGGGAAGTAGGCTAGAAAATGGTGTGTTTAACCTTTAGGTAAGTAAAATGTAGTTGTGTTAAGCAGTCACCATGATGTCATTTTTAATTATAACCTTTTAGTTATGCCCTGATACATATATGAACATTTGATGGTTCCTGATTAATGCCATAGAAAGTTTGTGTGTGTTCTGTTATTTTCTTGCATTTCTCTCGTTGAACCCTTTTTGTTTTTCTTACGGGCTACAGGTCAAATAATGAGGTCTGATAGAGAACTGAATTTCAGGTTCAGAATATGAGATCTTGCTGTTTCCACTGAAGCATAGTAGTAACAGTGGCTTATAGAGGAAAAAAAGAAATTTCAGTTTGAATCATGTCAACATTGCTAGTGAAGAAGAGTACATATGGGTATTGCTTCAGTGTAGTTTTGCTCCCGGCATCCAAAATTGTACATTGATTACCTGTGTGGTTTATGCAACAAAAGTAGAAGGTTTTCTTTCTTTTTGATTCGGCATTATGATTCCTTCCCCCTGCACCCCCAAAGTACCAAAGAAAGATTCCACTCGACTTTATAAATCGCAGAATCACAGAATGGTTCAGGTTGGAAGGGGCCTTAGAGACCATCTAGTTCCAACCCCCTGCCATGGGCAGGGACACCTTCCACTAGACCAGGTTGCTCAAAGCCCCATCCAGCCTGGCCTTGAACACTGCCAGGGAGGGGGCAGCTACAGCTTCTCTGGGCAATTTGTATTGTTTTATATGTTACATTTCCTGCCTTGATGATCCTCAACAGCTGTACTGCCACTAAGCCCGTGCAGAGAGAACATGTTTACTCACATCTTTCATGCTTATCTAGCTGTAGATTTATCTGTTCTCATTTTAACTTAACTTTTAACTTCTTATTTCAACGGTGTTCTAGTGATATATGTTTCTGTTGCTAATATCCCCATTAAATTGGAGATTCCTGATATTCTTATAGGATTTTTAAGCAGAATTATGATCTTGAAAACAGACAAGGGTTTTGCAAAATTATTTCTGTGACAAGACTGATAAATATCTTAAATCACCTTTAATCAAAATTATGATATGTGAAACCAGTATGGTATCTATATCATCCTGAACTGTATAATTTATCTGTATTGTATATGTCTGGTCCTAAAATTAACTGTTTAGCATTATCTATATGTGGTTGTGTTATCCTAACTTACTAATAAGGCACATAATTTGGCAGTGTTTCTTAGTGTTTGTTATTTTCACACAGAAACATGTTACACTGGAACAGACAGTAGCTAATTGCATGAGCAAGTATGGTACCTGGGTAGATCCCAGAGATCACATTGCTGACTGGTTTCTTGAAGAAATTGTCAGAGAAATGGGAGTCCATAGAATAGGAATAAAGATCAGATGTTATCCCTAGAGTATTGTATCATAATTCTTGGACATCAGTAGTCTCCTAAAGAGGACTAGCATTCAAGTGATTTAGGTGTACATCTTTCATGTCTGAACAATTCTGACCAGTGGCACTTGAAAAACATGCTGCTTCCCCATCACAGTAGCACAGCATATATATTCTCTGTGAGAGTGTGTTTCTGTAGCATTGCAGAAATGGGCTATGTGTGATAGAAAAGTCCTTTGATACTAGTTTTATTCTTACTTTTGCGTGGGGGTGTGTATTTGCTTTTCAGCTCTTTGAAACCACCGAGTGTGGAAATGGATACGTAGAAGCAGGAGAAGAATGTGATTGCGGTTTCCGAATGGCAAGTAAAGTTACATATTACTCCACAAGTCTTTCTTACAACATATATTAAGATAAATTATGTGATTGATAAAGGAGGGGGAAGGGTTATGGAAATGAATTTGGTTTGCGTGTTGTTAGGGAACAACTTCATTAAAGGACTGTGTTAAAACTTTTTTTCAAGTGAGAATTAGTGCAAAGACAGAGTGTCCTCAGAACAGTTCCTGTTACACTAGTGGCAGGATGTAGCTGTTTCCCAGCAATTTTTGAATTGCACTGTAGAAGTGCTTATCCCTTTACTTTTCCTGGATAGTATGCCTGGAGTGGTAGACTTCTTATCTCTGCTTTGGAGATAGGTGCCTGTGTTCAGACAGAGTAAGTAAACTGTTGTTTTCTTCTCTGTTGAAGAAATATTCCAATAATGTTTTTGCAAACATCTGCCCTGTAGATTTGAGTCCTAGATCTAGTATTTAAATATAATTGCGCCCATAATTAGTTTTCTTAATCTTTTTTTCTGCATTGAATGCAATTTGACTAAGCAGCATGCATTTGGCATAGACTGTTCCACACCTGTTAAGATGCTTCAGAAGGTGTGAATCCCCTTGTTGCTATAGCATATATGTCTCTGGTTTCCCTTTACTTTAGTATTTGAGCATTGCAAAGGGTTCTTCCAGATGATAATTTCAAGTCATCAGTGCTGAACTGAATCTTTTGTCTGCTGGTACATAACTGTGTGTTTGAAAGATCGTGAGGAAAAACACTTATTTAAAATGGAAAACTAAAAATTTCGCTTAATATTTTCTTCAGGAATGCTATGCAGACTGTTGTAAGAAGTGCTCTCTTTCTAATGGAGCTCATTGTAGTGATGGACCCTGCTGTAATACATCATGTCTTGTGAGTGTTGCTGCAGTATATCTATTGTTCTTTTCAGTTGTCCATGGAAGTCATGTGCAGCCTGTTATAGTTGGAAGTGTGTTTTATGTAGAATGAAAAGGAACAGCTGAGGTAGACATAATCTTAGTCTTGAACTATATTCTTTATTTTCTAGTTTTTCCCACGAGGCTATGACTGTCGATATGCAGTGAATGAATGTGATATTGCAGAGTTCTGCACTGGAGATTCTGGCCAGGTATGTATGCAGAAGTTTTCACTGCTTACACTATTGATGTTTCTTTGCACTCATTTTTGTCTCAATTTAAGAGGAAAATCTGGAGTAACAAACTGCACATTCATATACTCAAAATAACTGTGGGGGGTTATTTTTTAATCCTAACAATTTTTTAAATAAAAGAATAAACTACTAGAAATGAAAAAAAATAAATCTGAGTGGACTCAAAATATGACTGCCGTAGGTTTATTTGTTTTTTAAAACTTGTGGGGTTTTGTGTATCTATATAGTATTTGTATCAGACATCCTTCTTTACTCTTTGCCTGGTCTGTAGCGTATACTGCAAATGTGAGTAGATTCAAAGGTAATAACAGTAAGATTTTACGAAATAGAATATTTTATATTATAAATGTAGAAAATTACAACTAATGCAGTATCATAGAATCGTAGAGTGGTTCAGGTTGGAAGGGGCCTTAGAGACCGTCTAGTTCCAACCCCCCTGCCGTGGGCAGGGACACCTCCCACCAGACCAGGTTGCTCAAAGCCCCATCCAACCTGGCCTTGAACACTGCCAGGGAGGGGGCAGCCACAGCTTCTCTGGGTGACCTGTTCCAGTGTCTCACCACCCTCACAGTAAAGAATTTCTTCCTAATATCTAATCTAAATCTCCCCTCTTTCAATTTGAAACAGTCACCCCTTGACCTATCACTACAATCCCTGATGAAGAGTCCCTCCCCACCTTTCCTGTAGGACCCCTTTAAGTACTGGAAGGCCACTAGAAGGTCTCCCTGGAGCCTTCTTCTCTTCTCCAGGCTCAACAACCCCAACTCTCTCAGCCTGTTCTTATAGGAGAGCTGCTCCAGCCCCTGATCATCTTCATGGCCATCCTCTGGACCCCCATGTATAGAATCATAGAATTGTTAAGGTCGGAAAAGACCCTTAAGATCATCAAGTCCAGCTGTAAACCTGACACTGCCAAGTCCACCAAGTGCCGTGTCTACATGTCTTAAATACCTTCAGGGATGGAGATTCTGCCACTTGCGTGGGCAGCCTGTTCCATTGCTTGACAACCCTTTTGGTGAAGAAATTTTTCCTAATGTCCAATCTTAAACCTCCCCTGGCACAACTTGAGGCTGTTTCCTCTTGCCCTATCACTTCTTACTTGGGAAAACAGAACAACACCCACCTCTCTACAACCTCCTTTCAGGTAGTTGTAGAGACTGATAAGGTCTCCCCTCAGTCTCCTTTTCTCCAGCCTAAACAATCGCAGTTCCCTCAGCCATTCCTCATAACACTTTATACAAGTGTTATGTTTTTTGGAGTGTGCACATGTATGATAATGTTAAAAGTTGTGGATCTTACATATTTCTCTTGAAAACATTTGGCTAACACTCAAAAGTACCTGTACTTTTAAATAAACAGCAATCAAAAGGTTGTTTTAACTTGAATTCTTTTAAATAGTCAACATTCTTTACATCTTCCATTTTCATAGCAACTTTGATGCCTTAGGTGATAAATGCTCCTTTTCAATACTGAGTGTTTAGCTTCAAGGTTATATAAGAACTTCATAACTCTGCTGCAGTCATCTACTGCATCAAGTTCTTAGCTTTGAAGAAGTAAGATTCAGAGTAGATCACATGTCTCTCCCTGGGCATTGTCTGTAATTATAGATTGCAATAAATTAACAGTAACCTCTTTTAGTATTATCATCTGAGACATTCACACTTACAGATAAGTAGCTATTGCTGAGATTTTATTGTAAATATTTTATTCTGTAGATGGAGCATTCTTAATGGGAGGGAGAAGGGCTTTCTTAAACTAGGAGGCTGCCCTCAAATTATTGGCTAATATGGTACATGGCAGCAGCATACCCTTTCCAAATCTTCGTAGGTCCCTTTTTGATGAGGAAAAGCTTTAAGAATGGTCTGATCCCTAGCTTTAGCAAGGCAAGGCTTCTGGACCTGATGACCTGTTCATACCAAAAAAGTTTCCAATGCCAAGAGAACATGCAATTAACATCATAAAATCCCACAGCTGTGTAAGAGGTAGACTGGTAGGCTACAACTAGGTGCTGGTTTACTTTTAGTGGAACAGAAATTAATGCAGTGGCAGTGTTGCAAACATGGCCCCAGTGTTAGCTACCAAATGTCCTGTTACTGAACACATTTGTTTTGCTTTTCATTTTGCCTTGCCTCCTTAATTTCCGCTTGGAATATGCAGAAAGTTAGAGTCAAAGCTTGTATTCCATGGTTCAAGATACTAATTTTTTCATTTGTATTTGTGGCTATAGAGATTCCTGCAATAGTTATGTTATCTACCCCCTTTATATGTTGTGCAATTGTCTTTTAAAATCTGGAAAATTCCATATGTGATCATTTGATGTATTACTACACACACAATAAAAAAATTTCTTAATTTTTTTCAGTGTCCACCAAATCTTCATAAACAAGATGGGTATGCCTGTGATTCTAATCAGGTATGCAATATTTTAAAATCCCTGCACATCAGCAAATAGAAATCAACCAAATACAAGCTTCCTTTGTTTTTAAAATCCTACCTTCTGTATTTCTTCATGAATTTTGTCTTTTGGACATCAATGTTGCTTGTTCTTGTGCACTCTATGAATAGTAAAAATTTCTACTTTGAGTGACATCTGCTTGGTATCTTTACATTTTACATGTAAGTATCTTTACCTTTTACGTTCCACGTTAGTAAGTTCTTTACAACCATGTAAATGAGAAGTATAAAGCAGGTGCTGAAATGTCAGTGTGTATTAGACACAAAGTGACTATGAGAATCTTGGCCAAAATGTGTACTCCATCTACCCAAATTCATTAAAACTATTATACATCCCAATATGTGTGTGAAGAATCAAAATGAGACATTTGTTGGGGGAGGAGAAGGAAATGAATCACGTTCAGTTCTCATTGCTAACATGTTGTGTTTTGTTTAGGGTCGTTGCTATAATGGTGAATGCAAGACAAGAGATAATCAGTGCAAATATATCTGGGGATCTAGTAGGTTGACTTTAACTACCTTAAATGTATTTTACTTCTGGTTTATTCCTGCCTTTGTTTTGTATTTTTCATACTTTTTTTTTTTGTTCTTGCCACTGTAAGTTTTCTGCTCAGTAGAGCAGACTATTGTGAGAAACTGTGGCTTGATTGCCAAGTGAAATTTTGAGTTTGGAGTGATGACAGTGAGATTGTTCTGAAGTGATGTGGTTGCAGTCATAGGCAGGGCAGCAAATGCTGGACTCTGGTGGAATTAGGTGAGAAAATATACAAGATATTGGCCACTTTGGGTCACTGTTACCAGGGGGAAAAAAAATGGGTTTAAGAATTTTTTTTTTGTATAGTTCAAACCAGATGGTTTTGGTTTTTTTAATGACAGTTTTTTTCAATTCCATTATCCCAGCAGAAATTCATGCTAAAGCTGCTCCACCGTGCTTCTCTCTGATATACCATCCTGCAAGTCACGAAAATTAGCACATTGGTGTGAATTTAAATACTCATAGTACGAATTTAAGCCCAGAGGTACTGAGTAAAATAGAATTGCGGTTGCAATGGATTTTGCTTCCAGCTGAGAGGGGATAAGTACTTTGTTAATGACTTTGAGGCAGTTCCGCAGAGCAGAACTATCAGAATGTCCTGTACTCTAGGACTTAATGTTTTCTTCTGCATTTTGTCTAGTCATGACTGCCACTGCTGACACTGCCTATTTGAGGCAGAAGAATCATTCCATTTTAGGGAAGATGGAAGGGGAGGGATATAGTTTTACCATTTATTGTTTGTCTTATACAATACAAAAGGTGTCATATAAGTGTAAAATTGGATGGAGACAATGTTTTCTTTGTCTTCTGATGCCTTTTTGAGCTTTATGTTGCCACCTCAAATTTATTGATAATATTAAAGGCAATAGATGTTTTCGTTAACTAATTTCTTTCTTACACACATTTTAAAATAGTTCGTTTGTCTTCTGCACAAGTGGTTTTACTGATTCTACTCTCTATTACTCACTCTTAATATTTTATCATCTTCTGTATTACCGTTGTGCTTTTCTTTTTTTCTTAATTGATTTTTTTAGAAAAAACAAGTGGACTTGTTAGTAAATAGTTGTGGGTTTAAACCTGTTAGTTCAGATTTCTACTCTCAAAAAGCTGTAGAAATTACACTCTGACTGTTCAACCTTGTTTTTAACGTGAACTCCTAAAAAATTTTAAAAAATTAACATTGAGTTGATGTCAGAACATACACTTGTGGTATATGCCGCATATAAAATCTCTTATCTAAAATACAGGTCCGGAATTTTGCAGTGCAAACAACTAGATTGAATCTATGTGCAACTGTTACGAAGTGAACAAAATTAGACCCCAGGTAAATTCAAATGCAGAAGACAATGCAGACACTGTGGAGACAGCTTTTTCAAAAGTTCAGAGCACATTTTGAATGTTGAGCATTATTTAGAAAAGCAGTCTGTAGGTATTGCATTTCAGTCTGCTAGGTCCCCACTGTAGTCACTGGGAAATACTGCTTGTGTACATACAAATGTGGTTAGATTTCTGTTTTGTAGGAAAAAAATAGAGAACTGCTGCAACAAATATGCAGGTTTTTGAAAGCTCTCATATTTCCGGTGGAAAGTACATTTCTTTTTCCTTTCTTCATCAACAGAGTCTTCAGGATCTGACAAATTTTGTTACGAAAAGCTTAATACAGAAGGCACAAAAAAAGGTAACTGTGGAAAGGATGGAGACCGATGGATTCAGTGTAGCAAACAGTAAGTTCAGCTTGGTAGAGATTTGTATTTTAAATAGATAAATACTGGTTAATGTTGTCTGCTTTTCCATGACAGCAGTTTGTTTTGCGTTATTTTGAATCTTCTTTCCCTCACAAAGTTCCGTAGCTCATCCAGACAAATCCATGGGTGACTCAGTAATACGCTTGTAAAGAATTCCAGATTTTCAGAAGAATATACTGTGACTTTACTTCTTTGAGCAGCTTGGGGCAAGGCAGCAAAAAGTCCCAAGTTCATAATATACAGACATCTCAGACTTGGTAGGGATAAATCAGGCTGCAAATGCACATGCTATTTTCGCTTGTTCTGGCATTGATACCAGATTATGCTATTTCAAGTTTGTTCCTTTATTTTGACCAGAGAGGACATTCGGATGCTATAGACAAAATGGCTGATTCATTTGCATGGGATCATTACTAGATGAATATTTGATTAAAGTTAATTTTCAAGTTAATGATCATTAGCGGATAGACTTAGATTTCTCCTAATTTCCTTACTGTTTTGTAATTTTAAGTATGTATCTAAAAATTTCAGTCTCGAAATGGTGTTTTCCTCCTTTTGACTATCTGATGTTTGTCAAGTGGCTTTTTTTTTTTTTAGATTGCATGATTCACTTTTCAGATAGGATCATAAGCAAAGAAGTTGTTTGATGGATTTGTTGGGTGGTGGTGGTGGTTTTTTTTTACATTTATAGAATCAATTGGGTTGGAAGGGACCTCTAAAGGTCATCTAGTCCAACCCCCCTGCAGTGAGCAGGGACATCTTTAGCTGGATCAGGTTGCTCAGAGCCCCATCGAGCCTGACCTTGAATGTCTCCAGGGATGGGGCTTCCACCACCTTTCTGGGCAACCTGTTCCAGTGATCCACCACCCTCATATTAAAGAACTTTTTCCTAATGTCCAACCTAAATCTATCTTTTCTAGCTTAAAACCATTACTCCTCGTCCTATCGCTGCAAACCCTTGTGAACAGTTCTTCCCCTGCCTTCTTACAGGCCCCTTTCAGGTATTGGAAGGTCAATGTAAGGTCCCCCCAGAGCCTTCTCTTCTCCATCATCTCATTTAGATGAGAATAGTGTTGTTCTGATATGTATATTAAAAACCTCAGTTGTATAAAAGCTTTTCGTGGTCAGTAGAGATGCAGAAAAATGATGTAGGCTAATTTAAATTTTTTGCAATTTTAACAAATACTATTTCCAGCATTCATCCAGTTGCTTCTATGACTTAAGGCAATTAGAGTCAGAGACGGAAGTTTTAAGCTGATATCCTTCCGTTGAAGATTGCACATATAAAATAACATCAAATAAACCAGATTCTTTAACCAAAATTCAGGCACTCACACTGCATGGCAACAATTGTTCTGTTGTCCTGGAAGGGAAATAAAATGCAATTAAAAATTCAAACTTCACATTAATGTACGGTGTCCAAGCTGCTAGAGAGAGGGAAATGCATTTTAGCCTGATACGACAAAGCTTTGTACAATTCGTCTCTTCTCAATTGTACTGTATTGTATTTAGAGCACAGATAAATTTTTTGTTGATGTGAACATTCACTGGTGCATTAGAATGAACGATTACTTGTTTCTGGCTCTTGTCATTTATGTCAAATAATATTTTATTTCCAGACTTGTACTCTGAAAGTCTGTCATGCAACTTACGGTAATATGTATTACTGTGACTAGCAGCATCATTGCTGGCCTTTCTTTTTTGTAAGTTTACTTCATGTTGTTCCAGTAACTTTTTTATTTATGTTTTCGTTTTACAGTGATGTTTTCTGTGGCTTTTTGCTCTGTACTAATCTTACTAGAGTTCCACGAGTTGGTCAAGTTCAAGGAGAAATTATCCCAAATTCTTTTTATCATCAAGGACGAATAGTGGACTGCAGGTAAAAGATAATGCAGTGTTCCAACATGATTTTGCTTTGTCAGACCTAATTGAATGAAGATAAACATAAATGTAAAATTGTATGAGTTTAGGCAATTAATATCTTACAGCAAAATCATTATTCTGAGTAGTATTTCTTTTGATTTAAAAAAAAAAAAAAATAGAAAGGCTAACATTCCGCAGTTAAAGAGGGTGAAATGTGTGTTATCCTCCTGATTATCTGATCTCTTCAGTAGCAGAACTTCACAGTCAGAGTTTAATGCTCAGCATTATGTGTTTCTGGCGGGGAGCAGGGGGAGAAAGTCCATAATTGGCAAAGACCCATACATTAAACGTAATAGTTTTGAGTATTGTATCCTTAGAAATCGCTGTAGTGAAGACTGAGAGGGAGAAAACTGAAGAGTTGTGACAGGCAAACATGTTGAGCTACAGTTTAGTTAAGAGGCAGGTAAACGGGTTTTAGTTTAATTGTACATGATACTGGATTTGTATTTTAAAGATGTTGGGAACGCTTCTGTCATGCTAAGAGTATTCTCTTACATAGTTAGGTCCTGAGTGAACAATGATTGTCAACTCTGCTGTTATTCCACTGGTATTTTCATCACATGGGAAGTTAGTTTTTTAACGTTTTTCTAGCAATAGTATTTCACAGCATTTGGGGGGTGGGGAGAAAAAAGCAGAGCCCATCATAGATAGTTAAAAAAAAAACCAAAGCCCAAGGTGCCCATTTTGAGTATTTAAGTCGTTAATCTAGGCTTCTTTTTAGTCTGACAACTGGAATACCTTGTCAATGCTATGGACAGACAGAAAACCTTTGTAATTTTGTTCCATCTGTATGCTTGAATGAGAGAAATTTATGATTCTTTTGGCACCTTTTCTAACATTTTTAATATTTTCAAAAGACCACAATCATAATACTAACAGTATCTTAAAACTTTTTTCTCCTAGTGGTGCTCATGTTCTTTTAGATGATGATACAGATTTAGGTTATGTGGAGGATGGAGCTCCATGTGGACCTCACATGATGTGTCTGGACAAAAAGTGCCTGCCAATTCAGTCCTTGAACATAAGCAGCTGTCCCATTGGTTCTAATGGAAAAGTGTGTTCTGGTCATGGGGTGAGTCTGCACTGGGAGTCAGCAGCTAAGCTTCTTCAGCTGTCTCTGCAATATCTGGTCTTAACATACCCTGTGGAGTTCTCTACCTGAAAGTGTTCCTAAGACCTGTTGATTTGAAAACACAGATGTTAAATTCAGGGGAAGACTGCCATTCTGTGAAGCACAGATAAAATTTTAGAAAGCAAAGTTGTCAAATTAATTCTGCAATTGTATCTAAAGTGGTGTTTTCATTACTAGCAAGGAAGAGCTTTGACATCAGTTGTTGTAAAAGACTTCTGTAATGTACTACCCATATTTCAAGCTACTTGCCATTTTCAGTTAAACTTTTTCCTGCATACTAACACCTTTATGAAGTTGGTCCCATGTTTGTGGAGGTATACTTCGTGACTTAAAACTCTAAACTGTTGGACCTCAACAGAGATGGTACATTCTTCTTGAACAGATGCAAAGTGTATCATTTTCTACCCACAAGTCTATTTGTCTAAGACATTAGGTATGTTTTTGACCGATTCACTGTTCTATGTCTTAACTGGTACTGATAAAGATTGATAAAACGTTTCCATTGTGGGATTCAGTGGACACATACTTGCCTAAGGGGCTAGACTTTATACAAGAGGGCTAAATTTTTTTCTTCTTGTTTTTTGTAATTGAAGATGAGCCTGAGTGCTTCAAAGAGGAGGATTAGCTTCAAAATCAAGAAGGAAAAAATTAAAATTGGAAAGTAAAGGATCTAGGAGGTCTGGAAATCATCTTGGTATTTTTGGAGAGTGGCATGAGTGATGAGAGAACTATGTTACCATTTTTGTTTTGCTTGGACTGATCCCGGTTCATAATTCTGAAAGAATACTTCAGTTGATCAAACCTGCCATAAGATGTATTTACCTTCAGCTTCCTTGAGAAGATTCTTCAGTGAATACTTTAAGAAGCAGAGTGAGATAAAAGTTAAATTTTAAAAATTACGTGTACTACTTGTAATCGTTAGCGTGTAGGTTATTTTCTGGGGTTTTTTGCTTTATAAAGACATTGTTAGTTGATGCCTGATGCTTGACTTCACCTCTAGTCCCATAATCAAAACTTCATTCTTTGTTTCGTGTCTGTTTCTCATGTCATGCTTTTTCCTTGGTAACCTCTTCTAGCAGCACATTCCATGTGTTCCATTCTTTTTCATATGGAAAGTTTATAGCTGTTAACTCTCACTATTGATTTGATACTTTGGGGGTTATCAGTTAGATAGTTTTTCCTATATCTGATAAATGTCCTGCCGATTTTAGCGAGTCCTAAGTCCTTTTTTAGAGGTCATTCAACTAAATGTAGACTTAGGAAGAACTATTTCCTCCCTTTCTAGAAGATAAGCAAGCAGTCCTCATTGCTGCATAGAAAAACATTACGACAAAACTGAAAATCTTAATATTTTTTTTCTCCGTGGGAGCAAACTGTAAATGAGAGGTGGTAAAGCATGACCATGTCTTGAACCTTTTAAACACAAATGCTTGTATTCCTTCTGGACGTCCAGGCTCAAAGTCTAGATAGTTGGTTAGTGAAGATCTAACTAGTCTAGATAGGGGATTTTTGGATGAGAGTTTTTGTTGTTTTTTACACCCTGCACAGGGTGTAGTGCAAGTGATGATGGAACCACTGGGAACACTTCTGCTTTTCCTAGCATCTGAGAGTATTTGGAGGGTTAAAGCAAACTTTCATGTTGTTGATATATTATACTCACTCTAAACACTCAGTGCTATTGTACAATATATAAATAGATAAGTTTTATACTGTAAATTAAATACCTGATTATATGTTTACTACATTTTATTAAGTTTATAAACCAACTGCTGTCATTTATTTTCTTTTCCAGGTTTGTAGTAATGAAGCCACTTGCATTTGTAATTTCTCCTGGGCTGGGACAGACTGCAGTATTGATGATCCTATCAGGGATACTGGTGGCAAGAAAGATGAAGGACCCAAGGGTTTGTGTGATTTTGGTTTTGATGTTCTTTCAAGTATTTATGACATTTTTCTGTTGATACATCATAGGAGAATTAGCATATAGAAAGAGAATAATATTGTGCAGTCCAGCTTAGACCCAGATGGTAAAAATCTGTTTCATGTAGCTGAAGTAGGTCTTTCTGCTTTGGGAGTTCGAGAAAAATTTATTTTTCTAACCTAAATTTGGGAAAGACTTCAACAGGTAATGGTATGTACGTTCTGTTTTTTCTGTCGTCCCTTATTCTCTATTTTTTATGATAATTTTCTTTGCGATTGGAATCTAAGTGTAGCTTCTATTATTTATATGATAATTATTTATGTTTTACTAGAGATTTCTAGTTCCCTTAGTTGTTCTCAGGCAATTCAGTTAGCTGTACATGAAAAAAAGAGCAAAGTAGAATGCCCCTGATAAAAGAAGCTTTGGTTCTTTTAAACCAGATTTCAATAGGAGGAAAAAGAAATGAATTAAGATTTTTAAGGGCTTATATTATTCTTATGACTGTTCTTGCTTATTCTTATGTATTTAGTAAGTAATTCAACTGCGTATGAAGTACAGATACAAAGAGGGGCTATTATGGAAATAATCAAAATAGTTTTTCAACGAGGAAGAAAAGCACTTGAGATTCTCTCTGACTTCTCTGCCAGGGAATGTGTTTGGCTTCTGCTGTCCAGTTTTTTTATGTCTGTCCTGTCACCAGGACATTGTCCGACATCAGACTATATTTATCCAGTGTTACGCATTTACAGATAAAAGTTCTAATAAACAACTGAGAAACCCAAACAAAACTTCTCTGCTATGTCCCAGTTCTAGGTGGTTCTGTCCCTATACAAGGCTGATGGAAAGAAGATAGAGTTGTTTAAAAGTGTAGTCCTTAGAGCTCAGACTGTAATTGATTACTCCTCAAAATAGACAGTGTTTCAAGAAAGGACAGGATTTTGGTATGTGCCTCCAGAATGGCTCTGCTGCTGTCTTGTGTGCCTTATTCTTTCGCCCCTTAGCAGAATGGTTCCAGTAGGCCTTTACCAGCAACTGTTGAAGACCTCGTCTTAAAACGAGTTACTGCTGTGAAGGAGGCTCTCTAGAAGAGTCCAGATTTGTAGCAGGGAGTCTGTGCAGGTGCTTCCTGGACTCCTAACCCCACCACTGCTCAGTGTCTTCCAAAGCTACTTGTCATTTCATTTCCCATAAAAACCTTCCTAACTGTGGAATGCTGCTCACAGAGTCTCAAAAAAAAGAAAAAGTGGAGAGCAGTTTACTTCTCTTTGTGTGTGGATGAGGAGAGCAGTATTTACAGTTGTGACACTGAGAGTACCTGAATTTTATATTGCTTATTTCCAAATCCTGTAGGTAAGAAATAATTCCCTCTTCTGTAAAAAAGGCCTATAGGAAAGGCAACACTTACTTTGGTTAGATTTTTGTAATTCAAATTAACTTGCTGAATTCAGAATGGAAATACCTTTATGAAAATTAATACATCAATGCTGAATATTCTGGGAATAGTATCTGCACGTATTTCTGCCAGTAGGTACAGACATAAAGTGTAGACTGCATTTTTTCAATGGAGTCCTCTGCATTAAGGTAGAATATGTTTTTGTACAAGGTGGCTCAATGATTTCAAAAGATGGATTATTTTTACTTATGTTGTTATAGTAATCTATTGATAGTGAAGCACCTAGAAATTAATTTAGGAGCCTGAACACTGACAGCTACTATAATCTCTTTTGGTGTGCTAGTAGAGGAATCCCTTTGTGAGAAGATGTCAAGGTGTAGTTTTCTGTATTGTAAAGATTTAACCTATGAAAGTAGTTTCCATTAACTTTTTTCCTGCTTATTACCAGTACTTCCTATGTCATATGCCAGTTTACATTTCTGAGACAGAAATCAAAATACTTGTTTCTCCTTAACCCTGAATTTGAGTTTTGTTACATTTCAGAAACAGAACACTCATGATGTGAAAATTTACCTAATAGATTTAAGATTTTTCACACCATAAGTCCAAGCATTTTTCTTACAATTAGAGCATGTATAGCTAGGAAGTATTGCTATTTATTTATATATTGCTATGATAATTGAGAATTAACTGTTACTCCTGCTGCACTTTTCAGACCTTTCCATCATCTATCAGTTGCTTTTGGCTCTACATTGTATTGCAGGATTAAAAAAATTAGTGGTCCTTAATTATGTTGGTATTAATACATGAGTCTTGAATTACTCTAAACTTGGCAGCCTGCTGTATCCTGCACTAGCAGAACTACACAGCATGCTAGCAGTTTTGGGAGGACAAAGAGTTCTTGCTGTTAGTTTTTGGCTGCTGCAGAAACTTTGAATTACTTTAGCGTGTTGGCTTGTAGTTTTGAAATCGGCAGGACCCCATATGCACACATTTTCTTTTGCAGAATTAGGCCTTTCTTTGACTAGTGGGATAGTGTGGGGGGGTTAAATATAAAATTTATGTCTCGTGTGTGTGTGTTTGTGTATATTTATGAAACAGGAAAAAATTATAAAACCATTTCAAAACAGGCTTTATTCAGCATGAGGACTATAAAGTTTTTGTCCCTTGGAAAAGTTTCCATTAGACAAGGAATTCAGCTCCTTGTTTGTGGTCTATTATGACTCAGTGAATCCATCAAGCTTTTAATCTTTTACACAGGAAATATATAGATTTTTTTCTCAAAATAGTTCCCTTAAAAAATGAAAAATAAGGCCTCAGTGTCTTAACAGAGACTATCTGAACATACTGAAATTTCCAGGGTGTTACCTGAAGCACATTTCTAGGGTAGGTTTTTGCTTTTAAAAGGTGTTACCCGTCATAGAGAGATGGCATATAGATAAATACATGTCATATAGATAAATAAAGACCCCTATTGATAAATGCAGTAACAATGGAAAATATTACTAACTAGTAAAGGAATGAATTGAAAAGTTGGGTTTTTTTTCTTTTCCTGCAATGGAACTGTTTCCAAACAAACAGTTTTAATTTCCTTAGTTATATTATGGATACAGTAAGTTTCTGTTGATCAAAAGGAAGTTTTCTTATTGGCGATTTATTTACATTTTGGCTGTTTCAAATAAGCAGTAGGGTAAGGATGTTCCCTTCTAAGTAAGTAAATCATAGAATCACAAGCTAAAAGGAATAGTCTTCCATTTACAGGGAGACTTCTTGCTGAAATATTTGTAAGCATTCAGAGAAAACCAAATATAGCTCTGTTCAGAATTTTTAAAGCTACAGCATTTGGTAAATAAAGGTTTGTTAGGAGGTTTGCATTGTGTATCTGACAATGGATTATAGTGTAAAATATTCCTTTGAGGAATCATTTAATGTTTTCATTTCAGACATATGTGATCATTTCCTTACCAAAAAATCTTCCCTTTTCCCTCCACACAGTGAGCATGGCCACTAACAGGCTGATAGGTGCAGTGGCAGGGACCATTCTGGCCTTGGGGGTGATTTTTGGAGGCACAGGGTGGGGAATAGAGTAAGCATTTTTCTTAGTTTGAGTTTTATGTTTGGTGCCTAGTGTGTGAGGTAACTGTATGCACCCAGCCCTCTGTGTATCACCTCGTTAGCTTTGTCATGTGGTGACCGTATTTGTCATGTGATTTGACTGTGTCTGTGTCATGTGGTTTGCTCATGCCGTGTTGAACCTTCTCCTGTCTGGGATAATGTGGGGCATAAAACAATAAGTTTGTGAATTTTTACATAGTCACAGTGAAATTAAATGTCTAAATGTTTCCATTACACCAAATTATAAAAAAATGGGGAAAAAATGTACATTTATGATTATTTTGCAAAATAGACTGAGTAATGTGGGCTATTTCATAAAATGCAGAAATTGTTTGTTACAATCTGTGGGGCTTTCAGTCTAATAATAGGTCGCACAATCTGGCTAGGAAGATGAAAGCTGATGTTAATAGTACAGACAGCAAGTTTTACATGTTCTGTTGCTGAAATTCTGTTAAGGCAGTACCGTGCTGAAGTATAGGATTCATATATAAAGAATTATGTATGAGCAATTTTTATTGTCTTTCCATAGTTTTAGGAAACTGTAACCTTAAGTGTTAGCCCACTACCTTGATTTTAACAGTGGCTATGATTTATAGACGTGTGTGTGTATGTATGTATATATACACATATAAAAATGCCTATATAAGAACTCTCCTCATTCCGCGTTCCCTGTGCGAACTACAGAATAAATTGCTGTTACTCTCCTCTTCTGAGATTTCCATCTTTGCTGTGTTTCTGATACTATAAATGGCCTCTGTCGTGTGACAGTGCCATCTCTCTGAAGGGGGCATCATAACAAGACAGTGTGTGATTTCTAGGCAGGCTGAGTGAAAAAGCTTTCATACGCAGCTCTGACTAAAGCTGCATAGGCAGCCTGCTGGTAGGCAGCGTTCTGTGTGTCTGAGTTTGCAGCCCTAGGTAGAGCCATTTTAGCTTTTGCTGAACTGGACTCTTACATGAAACTCAGGTTCTCAGAAGGGTAGACACCTTTACACACAGAGGATAACAGAAAAACAAATAGAAGGAAGAAGGTACTAGATCATCTGCTTGAGAAAGATCACGTCTGTGTTTTACTGGTGGCTTTTGCAGCTGTTCGCTCAACACTGAAGACTCTGAAGGCTGTAGAGGTTTGGGACCCAGATTCTGGAGCAGAATATTTATTTACCTGCAGGTTGAGGACTATTTGCCTTTTACTTACATTCTGCCTTGTACTCTTCTGTTTTTATTTTCCCTTACCTGCTGTCTCAATCCACTCAGCTCTGACCAATGTCCCTGACCACTTGTTCTTGCTCCTGTATCTTTCTGCTCTAACTCCAGCTTTTCTTCACGTTTCCTCTGCTCTTATCACTTACTACCTGACTCAGTCTTCTTTTTATTTCTATCCATTCTTCTGTCCTGGATCCCATCAGTCTTTTCTCTGTCCTCTGGTTCCTTCAGATACAAACATACGTTCAAGGCAAGCCGCTGCTACTTTTTGTTACTTGATTTAAAGCAAGCACATGGGGGACACAAATACCCCCTCTGTTCCCAATGCCCTTCAGGCCCTGGCAGCTGTTACCATCAGTGGCTGTGGGAGAGGCTGGGTTCATCTCCACCTGATGCCAGGTTCTGCCCTTCTTCCGCCTTCCTTGCCACCTCACTTGCAAATTTGCAAACTTTTTTTCAAAAAGTGCTGAAATAACTTTAGTTTCTTAATGCTTTATGAATTTATTTAGTAATCGTGGGGGACAAAATGGCAGAGTAGTTTTTTTCCAGATTTCATCCTAAATGGATGCTTAGCTTTGGTAACTTAAACCAGAGGATTTGGCTGGCAGAGTGACAGGCAAGAAAAGAAAACGTCAAACCACCACAGTGTGCTGTTACCTGCAGGACAATCTGCAGCAAACTTGCCCCTTCTACGACTAGCAGAGTTTCAAAGCAATGTATATTAATTCTTGTAGAATCTATCTGGTGGTGATGATGATGATTTAGGGAATAGTCTGAAGTCCACTGAAATTATAGGCATGTTCTGTTTTAACACCTTCAGAAGGATTTGTATCAGGGTCCTGAAGGACGACTAGCGATGCTCGGGCCGAAGCAGGACGGCGCCTTGCAGGACAGGGCGCAGGCTGGGCAGCTGCGGTGCCGTCAGCTGCAGGAGCTCCCTCACGATACGCCTGTGCCTGCGGGCTGGGGCCGTGCCATGGCGGAAGGGATGTGTGTACAGAAGTGTTGTGTCTTGTGATAGCCTGGGTGGAAAATGGCCCCACGGTGTGGTGGCTGTTAAAACTGTCCTCTCGCTTGCAGTTTCAATGTCAAGCATCTGAGTCCAGTGACGAGAGAGGCTGATTTAGCTGCAACATACTGATTTATACTTTTCTTCATAAATGTCACTAGCTAAAGTGACCTGATGCGAAGTGGGCTTCATCCTGGTAGCAAAATTCTGGTGTATTAATCATACAATTTCCTTGATAATGCTTAATAAAACGTGAGGCATACATCTTTAAGGCAAGGTATAACATGTAAAAGTCCCACTGTAAGTACTGTTGGGTGCACAGTCTGTTATGGTCTTAAAGCAGCTTACCCACAGTCCTCTTAAATCTCTCTATTTCAAAACTGGAATCCACTGATTGGAGGACTCTGTTGTGGGAAACAAGTGGTTGCTGTTTAGCAATCATAGGCATTCCACCAGCTTTGTTTTTACATTGAAGTCAGAAATGAGATTATAGTCTTGTTGATTACCAGTGAAATTTTACCTTGAATGCAGCCTTTTCAGTTTCTTTACAGCTGTTTCCCTGCATTCATAGGAACTGCCACTCCTGGTACACTGTGAAACAGTTTTAAAATTATTCCAGAGAAATGGACATACATTTATATGCAGGCATCTATCATTTACTCTGTTTTTAGGCTCTCTCTAGCAGATAGCCTAATTCTTAAAGGCGTAGATTTTTCAGGGGGATTTTTTGTGTTAAAAATGAACATCACTTCTTCTTTAGTCACTGACACTCTATAAAATTGGCTCAGATCTGAAAAGTGTGTTTATCAGGACCCATTTGTTATTTAACATAATTTTAGTAACTTTTCTGTTAACTGAACCTAATAGTTTTGTATATTATCCTTTTGTGTTTAAATTTTGATTGAATTCTTCCATCTTTATAGTAAATAAAACCAGTGTTGATTTCCTACATTGAAAGAACAAACTGCTGTTTGTTGAACGGATGGGCACTATGAAATAGATTCCTCCCCCACCCCCTCAACATTTAACAGCCAGGGAACACAGTAAGACAACAGATTTAGAAAAGTGGCCATTTGGTACTTCCTTATCTAAGTTATGACTGTGTTACTATCAGTTAATCCTTGTACTGCTTTGTGGGAAGACAGCATTCCATGGCTAGAAAGAAATCGGCTTTAGAATTTTTCAAGTCTTCTACGATTTAGTACAGATAAACTACTTGATATGTTTTTAGCCTTTTGTTGTGTGCAATCATTTGATAAAATCTGGAGTAAGCCACAGATCTGAGTCAGATACGGTAGCTCATTAGGCTGCTGTTGAAAGCAAGCCTTAATTTGGAATATAATGCCTGTGGAATGGCACTCATTTACCCTCCACCATGCTCACTCCTGTTGATTTGAGCCAGGTGTGCCTTTAAAGGTAAGTCCAAATGAGAGATGTTCTTCTGAATTGTGAAAAATTACCTTTTCATTATTGTTACCAGCTTTGTGCACTGCTCATATCTGTAAAACTCACTGTGCTTCTTTTCAGTCCAAGTCTCTTATTCATATTCCTGAATACTCTTTGTGTAGGAATTGCAGGAAGGAATTCTTAAAACTTGATTTTCTTTTAGCTGATCTCCAGAAGCACTGATGTGGGAAACATGTAACGGATGCAATGAAGTTAGGTCACCGCAGTAGATTTTAAAACTCAGGGCACATATCTATGATAGTGTCTGGGACTGGGCAGAAGGTTTTGTGGTACTGACCTAACAGCTTAAAACTTTTTAAGTTGTTGCAGCTGCCCTTGCTCTTTCCTCTGCTGATCTCTGGCTGCTCCTTTTTCTTCCTTATGTTAGCTGTCTGACGGTTTTGCAAGCTCAGTTTCAGAACATGTAAAATAGGAAAACTTCAATTGCTGTGTAGAAGTGTTGGTTTGGGGAAACTGGGATGGGAGGTAAGAACTGCTTTTGAAGGCTCTTCCTGAATATGTAAATGTTTAAACAAGAAGCGTGCAATACGCTGCTAAAGAACCGTTGGGTTGGTTTCATTTTGCCTTGAGCTCAGATGCAATTAGCTTTACATCAAAGCCAGCTCAATAGTAAATTTTTGTACCAAGCAATAAAAATGGTGCTCAGGCCTATTGTCACTTTCCCTCCACCCTGTGTAAACAGAGCACTTAAGGGTCAATCATGAATATCTTATTTAGGTGTTCTCTTGCCCTCTTGAGCAAATTGGAGGAACATTTTGTGCTGCTTCTGTTTGTTGGTCTTTTTTCCTGCTCCACCCTTCCCCACTTTGTTGTTAAATAGCTTCTTGAGGATGAAGAAGAGATGCTTTGATGTTTGGAAAGCTTAATGGGAATATAGTCTTTATTTCAACTTTTGTTCCTTATTATACAATCCTTTGCTTTTGTCAAATCATTGTAAATTTAAGCATTGACGTAACTGTAGAAACTCTTAGCGAGTGGTGCTAGATGCTCTCAGCTCAAGTTAAAATATATACCACCTTTCAGTGTCTCCATGAAAAAAGTTAGGCTTTTTAATTTTTTTTTTTCTTTCTTTCTTTCTCAGTTGCAGTAGTCATAAAATATACAGCATTCATACTTCTTCCTTTGAGTTAAGGAGTTATTCACAAATGTCTTGGTGTCCTCAGCTAACAGTTTATTCACTAGGTAATGGAGTAAGTCGCAATGGAATTGACTGTTTTTATCTGTGGTAGAAGTCACCATAGCACAGTGCAGAGACAAACAGTTTTGTTCATTCTTACTGTTAAAGAAGTTGGGCTTGCTGAAATTGTCTAGGGATATCACCCCGTGTGCTGTCTATATTCCTTCAATTGTTTGACTACCCTTCAGTGAATAAAGTGGTTGGTTCTTATGTCTGTCTTACCATCGTCCTTTACCACAGGTCCTAGTGCCACCAATCTTATAATAGGCTCCATCGCTGGTGCCATCCTGGTAGCAGCTATTGTCCTTGGGGGGACAGGATGGGGCTTTAAGTAAGCAATGCCGCATGTCTTCTCTTCAGTGGCTATGGCGTTTCTATTTCTTGCTTACATCACTAAATTTTGAGTTCCTGCTACAAGATTGCTACGTTAACTCCCTTCCCTCCCAACTATAACAAACTGCTTTAAAGAGGAAGAATTATGCGCGCACTGAACAAGAGGAGGAAATGGATTTGAAACTAGCAGATGTCATCAGGGTGCAAAGTTGAAGAACAGTAACAGAATGAGTTGAGCTTTTGTGATTTCACCCTAACACACAGGGAGCAAGGTCTTTTTTTCACCTCCAATTAGTAGCATTGTTCTCAAGTTGACTACAGAACCCCAAAAGAAAGATACATGGCTTGAGGAGTATTTATTCCGAATGCAGTAGTACTTTCAAACTGATAACCTATTTTATAATTTACACTTCGTGTGTAAATGGTAAGTGGTGGCAGTAGCAGAGTGGTTTTCAGTAACAAATGTGGTGGTGGTTGTTGACTCAGAAGTACCAGAGCTAACTTTTGTTTGTGGTTACTCATTTATTTTTACTATCAATTCACAATTAAAAAAAAAAAAAAAAAAAAAAATCAGGTTTGGAGAGAACATTTTGAAATTTTGAACTGTCTCCTGAAAGAGGAAAACATTTCTCACCCAATTCTAGTTCAATGTATTTTACAACTGTGAAGAGCAACACACCAGTCATTCAGCTTGCGACTCCTAGAGCAGTGTCTTGCACAAAGATAGTCAATTCTTGACTTTTTGTGCAGTGTCAAGTCTACCTACATGCATGGTCCCTATTTGGTAAAAAGGATCTAAATTTAGAATCAATGTTTATGACCTTACAGATCACGGAAGTGTTAAACACAAGAAAAGTAATTTCTCATGGTATTCTAGTTGCTGTTTCTTTTCAATAACATGAATCAAGACTAAGCTATGATACAACAGTAAGCCATAATTCCTCAATCAGGTTTTTTATAAGAATTCAAAGAATAGTTTATTTGGCCTATATCCATATTCCATGTCTGAGTTGAGAAGAAAAAAAATGATTCCGTCATTGATAAAAGGTGGCTATCAAAGTAGAATATAGGCAGCAGGACATAACAATCTGTTAATTAATTTTCAAAGGTCACTTGAAAATGTGTATTTTTGGTTCTCACTGTTGTATTTTCATGGTGCCGGATGCCCTTAAATTACACAGGCATATGGAAGCAAAATGTTTCCAAATCTCTCCCAGCCCTGCTGAAAACAGACTTTGCCCTTTCTTCTGGACAGGGCGGTTACTGCTTCTGCTGCCCTGCTGGCTGCAGTCGCTGTTTTCAGAAAGACCCTGCACCTGTCGCACTCATTTTTCTCTTAAGTGCTTGTTCTGAGGGAGGTGATGCTCCTTGTGCATCCCTATGACCCTGGCAGAGCTGCAGCACCGTGGGAGTCAGTGCTCCTCCTTCGCTTTAGTAAGAAAGATTAAATACAGAATGTATCGAAACAGCCATCTTTAAGCGTGGGTGCATGACCTGCCTAAGCCTTTTTAACTCCTGCTGATAGACTTACCTTGAGCTGCTGTATTGGGTTTTTTTCTTACAGCTTCTTCTCAGTTAAATAAATTAAATCCACTTATTTGTATGATAAATAACCCCTAGGTCAGCCTGCAGTACTTACAAGGTACTACAGGGCAGCTCTAACCAATGTAGATACAGCCCTGTATTTTTTGCATTGTGTCTCACACGGCTGAGACCGGTATTTTCCATATTTATAAACAGTAAAATAATTCAGTATTTATACATTTCTGATTTGTTACTTTGTTTCATCAAATCTATGTTCAAAGGTAGAGCTTTAGATAAGGTGTGAGTGTATGTCCGAATATGCAGTGGTGACAGACATGGATTTGCATGTGGTGTTAACACAAGAAGGAATTTGGATTCTTTTCATTTGATAGATTGAAAAATTTCTTCTGTGTAAAGGCCTCAGCTGGGAATAATGCTTTTTTACAGACTTTGTCATACTTGGACATATCCTATAGCACCAACTAATACAAGTACGCTTACATTTTTTTCTTCTGTATCCTACGAGATGCAGAATTACAGGAGAGACTTGTCTTTTAACCTAAATAAAGCTTATAAACAATACATAAAAATTTCAGTTAGTTGCAGAACTGAGGGTTTTTTCCCCTGCACTTCACTGCAGTTAGCTTTTAAATAAATATGGCCAAATTTTCTGAAAGGCTTGCATTAACATTTCTATTAAAATTTTTAGTTTATTGATAACAGCAATGCAAATTTAAAGCAATATTACAAACACTGCTATTGCAAGTTCCCATGGGAATTAACCAAGCTAGATTTTGTTGGAAAAAAATGTCAGATTATACTTTTGGACCAGTTTTCTGCTGTCAGAAGCATGTGTCCGTTATTTAGCAATTCATATACTTTCTGGACACAGAGTACTCATCCCTAAATGATATGTTTGTATTGCAGAAGGTAATTTGTCAAAAACACAGTACAAGTCATTAAAATATAAAAAACTTCAGGCAGTTTCTTCCTCTGAATCTGTCTTGTGCCTTAACAGCCTTTGCTGCAGCACCTGCTCCAGCTGCGTGAGCAGTCTGTCTGCTGGCTGGGGACAGGGACGCCCAGAACTTGCACGGACACAGATCTCTAGAAGAATCCCTCCCTGGCTGAAACACCTCTGTACTTCGCTGATGGCTTATTGCTTCTCTGTGTTCTGCAGCGCTCAGACTACCCTTGCAGGTGTTCAGCTTTGCATCCTGGTGTCATTCGTTTGTCCAAATGTAACAGCTTGTTATCCCCGGAGAGGATCTGTGTGGGAAACGGCTCTTGCAGCTCTTGCTCTTACTCTCAAAAGAGCGAAATACAAATGTTTATTCTGTAGCAGAACCTCAAATACACTGGCCTGGCCTAGCTCACAGCTTGAAGTGCATGTTTCTTCTGGGGGTCAGAGGGGAACTGAGGCGGCTTTTCAGCTTATACACAAAAGAGGGCTAGCACATGTAGACCCTCTGATGCTTTGCTTCAGATATATCTGGAGGGACAGATGAGGATAATAAAGAGGATTTTAATTTTTCCTTTTTAAGCAAGTGATATGTTTAGTCTCTGCAAATATGAGAGAAGGTAGCTAATGCTTTACAAACTGGGAGATGTGATTTCTGTTTCACAGGTTATCAGATGTTCATATGAACATACGGTACTGTGGTGTCAAGTCCATATCAAACGTAAGCTGCAACTAAGCAAACTTTGTTCATGAACTGAGGTGGGGGGGTTGGAGGGGAAGTGTAAAAGAAGGCTTGGTGCAAGTTTGGAGAAACAAAGTTAAAAACCAAAAACAAACCAGTAAACCAACTTCCAGTTTCAAGAGTGAATCCTAGGTTAACTTTTCTAATCAAGTTAACGTGTGGATAGAATAGGAAAGAAAAAAGTTACCTGACAATTTCAGAGGGTGCAGAGCCTTGTTACATGTTGCAGGTGGCTTAGAGTTAAAGGCTGTGGGTAGAAACCTTGTTAAAATGCAGTGACTTCAGTTGAGCCTTGCATAGCACTTTTAAAGCTGTTGGTGTTTAGACTGCAGTAAGGGAGTCCTACATATTCCTGCCTGAACTCTGCTGGGTCACGTGTGGCATTCATGAAACGTGAAGTTCATTTTGCTGTAGCAAGTCTGTGCAGGATTTCAATAGACAGTGTTTAATGTAGGACTGATACAGGAAGGACATTTTTACCACTCAAGTAGTTTGGGGCATTGGCTGCAGTCACAAGGGCCTGTGCTCACTTTTTCTAGCATATATTCGCTTACTTTTGCAAAGCTACTGCAGTAATGTAAGCCAATTAAATGCTTTTGGTGCTGACTTTAACAGTATTAAAGCAATTTTTGGTAATAAAGCAACACTGCTAAGAGGCAATGCTAGTAAAAGTGATGTGGAAATGCACCTGAAATGCTTGTTATATCAGAATGCAAAGTGGCTGACAGAGAAGGGTTGATGGTATGAACAATTCTATTTCCATCCATTGTTTCTTAGCTGAAGAGCTGCAGGGTTTTCTGTCCCTTTAATGAAAGATTAATGGATGGACCAAAGACTCACCCAGATGTAACACATGCCAAGCTGTTAACTGGTTTGTGCAGGTGCATTTAGGCCCCAAAAGTTTCTGCAAGGATAAAGCAGTGGACTGCTAATGGTGACATTGTGAGGGAGGAGGTGTCAGTCCCTTACCAGCATTTCCATAAAGCACGTATCGTGGACCTAAACACAGTCATCATTACACAAACATCAGCATTAGAATAAAATGTGAGATATTTTCTCATTTTTTTCCAAACTACTAGAATAAATGGCATGTCAATGGCTTAGTTTAAGCTGCTAATTTTAGTCCCTCATTTTGTTAATTTTAATCAGTTTTGTAGCAAAAGGTCATGTAAGCTCTTCAGCATATGGACCATGCTTTAGGAATGCCTCTGAAGAGATCAGCTATTTGAAGTGGTTAAGATACTGGCTTTGGATAAATACAAAGCTTTACTTAAGCATTTAAAGATTTATGTGATCACACATAAAGGCACAGATTTGCAAGTAATGTACCGTGTAACCATATTCCCAACTAGTTGCAAAAAAAAAAAAAAAAAGCAGAGGATTGCAGCAAGGTATTTCTTACCTACATCCAGTCTTTTTTTCAAACCAGTTTTTCTCTTCTGAAATATTTTTGTTTGTAAAGATGACCATGTTATAGAGGCAGCGATGTGCCATAGCATGGTGTGCTTTTTTGATTCAGAATCACCTATAATTTTTTTTATGTTAGAGACACTTTTTCTGGTTGGATTACAGACCGAAAGGCTGACCCTCATTATTTAAAGGGACATTAAAACATTAAATGCAAAAAAAAAGTTCATGTTCTAAGATCTTCCACATGAAACAACAAATAACTAGGAAATGGCATTGTTCTCCTGTGTGTCCTTCCATAGAGGACTCCTCTGCCCCCTGCCTTATCGTTTTACTGAAGCATGCTGAAAGGAACCTTGTACTGCTATAATACATAGTTTCCTTTCTTTTTATTGTAATTTTCTTGGGGAAGAGAGAGAGACTTGTTCTATTTGTTGGTGTAAGACAGACTGCTGTCTTCATTTTAGTATTAAAATGGTTGGTACTTCAGGATGAAGTTGTTGAAGTGGGTCAGGCAGTCAGAATAGAATTCAGATTGCTGCAGGGTGACACCTGACTGCCTGCCTCTCAAGTGCCGTGCTCACAGCACAGAGGTGTGGCAGGCTCGTGTCAATGCTTTGCACATGTGTACTGTGTTCAGAGGCTATTTCAGGCTCTTACGTTAAATGTTCTTTTAGTTCTTCACACGTTTCTTTCTCATACAACGCTGTTAGCGGAACACCCTGAGGGAAGAAAGGCACTGGTTTGGTTAGTGTCTGATTTCTCGAAGTGTGCATTTCTGCTGGAGAAAACTAGGAAATGAGTAAATGCACAGTTTGGACAGATCACAGAATGCATGGTGAGGGCCCAGCAGACTTTGCCTGTTGTCCCGTGGCACGGGTGTGGCTGAGCAGTGGTATAAGCAACAGTCCTTACTGGAAGAGTACACTGGTGGAGGTCAGGTTAGAAAAGATTTGGTAGGATTAAGAGTCACAAGAGTTTTGTGACGAGTTGTACGGGGAAGCTAGTATAGCATCTGTCCTCTGCCCCTTCTTCTAAGTCCATTTCTTTAATTAAACTAAGCTCAGTTAACAGTGTAATTCAGTGTATGTTTTGATGACTTGTCCTCTTCAAGCAAACTGGAATATGGTACTTCCCCTAGAGTAGGAGGATGAGTTACACCGTGTGGATTTTTTACATGCATTGATGATTTGTTTTAAGAGGACTGTAATTAGTTGCTCAGCAGTAGCGTTTGGATTCAAGTATGCTAGACTGTATTTAAGCAGGCGGCAGCAGGGGCAGCGCAGCAGACATGTCTTTTCCCCACTGAAACTGGCAGGACAAGCAGTTAAGAGTCAGACTTTCTATCATACAGTTCTGCAAGTTGGCCTGAAAAACTGCTCATCTCAGATTTTCCTGTAGTACAGAGGAGGATGGATTGAGATATTGAGGTAATGTCAACCCAGTTCAAAAGGAGCACTAGTACAGTACACCTGGAGTGGAAATGATTGAAAGGTGAATACAGTGATCTTTCAGAAACCAGCAATTATTAAGCATTCACCTTGCAAAAATGTAGGCACTGGTACCCAAGGGAAAAAAAATAAAACCAAAAATAAAACCAAACTAAAAAAAACTAACACGAAGGATGCCCAAGAATTACCAGTCTCCAGAGGTTTTCTCAAAAAGAAGTTGCCTTTGCATGCATCCATTAGTCTCTTAAACCACCAGGCAAACCTTGTGTATAGTATATTGATAAATACTGTAGCAGTGGTAGTAGTTAGCAGGGCTGCAGAAAACAGAAGGTCCTGGGGTTGGTATGTAGCTTTAGGGAATTTATGAATTTCTGTTCTGTACTTCTTGCATGTCGGTTTGGTGGCGGTAGCGGTGCATATGCCCAATGTTAAAACTAAATGCATGAGCCCCTTGCTTGATGCCCCACATAAAGCCAGATACTGGGGAGGTTGCACCCAACTTCTGTTGTTGCTTCCTAATGTCTTGCTGTTTAACATAGGCTGTCAGTGTCACAGGAGACTGGACATCGCTGACCAGCTCGCTAGCCACTGGTGACATCAAATTCTAATTATAAAATTAGCAAACCTGTCCAGTCTCCTTCGAATGCAGTGTGTTTGCTATATTTTGCACCTTACTGAGATTGACAGCAGTTATGGTCAATAGCACGGTAAGAGCTCACAGAGACACTCGCTTTTTCATCGCGCTGGAATACGTAACCTAAATTCTGGTATAGCCAGAGATGGGCACTTGCTCTGAGAATTCAAGTCTCCGTGTGCTCATGTAGTTCCAGTGCTGGCACTTTTGACTCATTCCCTTTAGGTACATGCAGGCTTTCTTGGCTGAGCAGGCACACATGTTACAGTGGGCTGGAAGTCTCTGCAAATTTAGAGTACCACTTGAAGTACTACAGAAATAATTGAATTCTGTGTGCCAGCATGATCTTTAAACTGCATAAAGACACCAATACTTGATGTTATGCTACAGAAAGCTTGCAACCAAATTCCTTAAATTGTTACCCCTTGGGAAAGTTGCTTGTTAAACTGTCTCAAGTGTGAGCCTTTTACTTTACTATGACCTTGGCAAGGGCTTTGTTCCTGTTACATCTAACTAATGTCTTGCATTTTTCTCTCTTCGTCTCCTTTTGATGCAACCTGGAAGAAACGTCAAAAAACGAAGGTTCGATCCAAGTCAACAAGGCCCTATCTGAAGGCATGTGACTCAAAGCTGCTTCTTGCACTACTGGATTTTGGGTATGATGTCTTTGCTGTAGCTGCACAGGAACTAAATCAGTAAGGAAGAACATGAGAAACAGTAACTGTAAACACAATGTTGGGATGTTAGGATTTGAGGTGGTAGAAGACTGTCCTTTTTGGAGAGAAATGCAAAATACTTCCTCGATTCACCTTTCTCTTGTTAACATTAACTGACAAGTGTTACAAACAAACTGTTTCAAAATCAGGTGTTTTTTTCTTTTTTCAAACAAAGGAGGAGACACACAGACCAAGTGCAATAAGAGAACTATTCCAAAATAATGAAATAGCAGAAGACTTTTTTTTTTTTCCCCCAGCCTGCTGGCACTCTAACTTCACTTGAGTTCGCATGACTTCCTTTTTCTTATCAAACTCCAGTGGCATGAGGAGCTAATTCTGAAAGGGTAACCTGCATGGCTCACATACAACCAACCAAGCTCACTTAAGCTGACCCCAAGCAGAATCTGCAGCCCAACAAACGCAAACCACTGGAAGCCAACATCGGGCTCAGGTAGCTTTTCCAGCCACGTGGTGCGTTCTGCCACTGGACCTGAGAGTTCCCTGCTTGGTGAGCTCGCTGTCCACCTTGTTGTGGTCTCCTGGGCCAGAGTCTATTGGGTACGGAAGCTATCGAGTGATGGATGTAATTCTTCCAAGAAGGAAAAAGTGTAAATATGGAAATAAGATTTTGATGTATCATTTTCACAGATTATATATAAATATATATATATATGAGAGAAAAGGGTTTCCATATAAAAAGGTTCTATTCTTTATGTAAATCTATTTTTGATGTCGGGTTTAGTTTTGGGTTTTTTTGCTCCCCTCTTTTTCTGTAGCATGTTGTACAGTGGATGTTCTGGGCTTGCTCAAGAAAAGGCAGATAATAGCATGCCAGATGCAGGGAGGTCTGACACCAAACAGATGTGACCTGAAGTTTGTATGCTTGAAACCAAAAACAATTAAAATGTATAAATGCATATCTACGTATTGACTGTAAGTCTGGATTACTTGGTTTTGGCCACTTACAGATTTTTCCTTAATACAACAAGATAAGTGACACCCGCTCAAGCTAATCACAGAAGTGCCAAGCTCTTATTTTATTTTGTTTTTAAAGTATAGCTACTTCTTTTCCTGTCTAGATCCTGTGAAAAAACCCACTTAAGTAAGCCTTAAAGTACTCACAAAACATTAAAAGCTTGGAACAAGTTATTCTTCTCTTGCCTTCTGCCCACCCACCCAAATTGGCTTGCAAAGGTGACTGACATTTCTAACTCACTCCCTGGCTCTCTTTGATGCATCGCACTTTTCAGAGTATGAGGCAAAATTAAAACTCTGACCCTTGGCTCCTGCTAGCTAGTACCATCACAAAGTGGGCAGAGCCCCACGTAATTCTGGGCGGCTGTGTGTTGTAACTACTTGTAGACACACCTTGTGTACAGACAGATTTTTGCAGCGAAGCGCTGGGCAGCAGTGCTGTTCCTGGTAGCCAGATGTCTCTGGCTTGAGACAGGTGCAAAGATGCCTAGTTTAGGCCTGGCTGGAGAAAGGTACAGAGACGTCTAGTGTAGGCCTCCCTTATAGAGCTGTACAGTCTGGCTCATCCTTTTTGTCTTTGATAAAAAACCTAGGTAATTCAGTTTGTGTAAGTAAGTGAAGTGACCTGAAAATTTCATTGCTGATAATCAGAATTAAACACTTTTGTAATTTCAGATTTAATTTAAAGGTTGGCTATTAGTAACAACAGAAGTCCAGTCACAGTACTTACTCCATCTTTGTTCAGTGGAAAACCATTTCTTGAGATAGCCTTAAGAGCCAAAACATTAAGAAAATTACGCAGATTTCCTGTGACTGACTTACCAAAATCTCCTTTCAGTTATCCTTCTAATTACGATAGTTATTATGTTCAGTCCAACAGTCTGACAAGAGAACCACAATATATTGTTTTGGTTGACAGTTATTATTAAATGTTTTTAAACAGCTTTAACATAATCACATTAACACTTAGGGCGTTACGAGTTAAAGGTGCAGCACACAGGTAGTAAACACTATTAGAGTAAGACTTATAATAGATATCAAATTCCTCCCTGGCTTCAAGCAGAATGAAGTGAGTGCCAATACTTTTATGGCAAATCAAAAATACTTGCAATTGTATTATTGTCCTCCAAAAGTACTTTGCTTGGGAACATAACCCCTGACTTTGTTAGCACGTGTAACCCACAACAGAAATACTAGTGGTTGCCAAAAGTTAAAGTAAGTGAAACCAACGATATACATAAACTACCTGTGTAATAAACCTTTGAGAGGCATTTCACAAGCAACATTGTTAGTGTGTGATGTGATGTTTTAAATCAGACCACAGTGGTCCCCAGCTACTATGTACATATGTTCAGCGCTGGAGTAACTTTTTTATTTACACCAGCAGTTTCGTAGGAATTGTGATTTCTCAACTGAATTTATGCTCCACTCATCAGCCACTGCGTGTACGTGGAAGAACACATTCGCTTTCTGCCCTGTGCGTACAGGACGCAAGCGACAACAGCTCAGAGCAGGTACAGGCCAAAGTGCTTTCTTGGGTGGTAGGCCACTAAAACTGGTTTTCATAGGTGTTGATTTTCTGCATCCCACCCTTGCTCTGCTTGGGAAGTACGTATGCGTTTAGTGATAACTTGTTCATCACGAAGCACCATCGAAAGACTACCTGGTCAGCACGGCCTCCCTTTCACCCACTACACGTTTGCTCCGTGGTTATCTGTTCATCTGGACAAGAAACTGTGGTAACTGTATAGCTCGCTCCAGTTTGCTGCATGATCTCACTGATTTGGTCTGACCCTGCTAAAAGAGAAGCCTGCTGGGCAAATTAGCCGCTGTATAAGTGCATGTTAAAAGAAACAGGTTACTTACTGCTGGAGTTTAACCAACATTTCTTTACTATGCAAAGATGGGTATTGCACAAACAAATTTAAGACAAATGTCTGAGGAAATGCCATAGAATACTTGAAGTTATGTTTTAAGCATAATCAGTCACATTTTATATTCATTATTGCTTCCACTGTTACTCTTCCTTTTAAAAATGATTTGTAATTATTTTTTTAAGTGCACAACTTGATGTTATAAATCAGTTTTTGTTTGAAGTTAATACTCATTCATATCTTGTTGGCTGCTAATGAATGGAAATTCAGTAGTCCTTGTTCTGCATCTTAGCAAGATGAGTATTAAAAACACCATGAACATGGAATGGAGTAGTTTTTAATTTTTCAATCATTTTTTCCTTATTTATTCTCTCCATTTTATTTGATTTCTGTGTTCAGGATATCACCACCTTTATAGCAGTGGAAATTGATTGGAGGTTTCTTTTATTGAAGATCCCTAAAACTATGCCCCATCTCGCTGAGAGGTTCTGTCCCTGAGAGGAGGTTGCATGCAGGCTGTCTGACATGGGCAGGACAAACACCTCGCACCCAGGGCTGAGCAGCTGTGCAGGAGGAGCATTGCTGGGCCTGCTTCAGCCCCATCTGCTGGCTTCACCGAGTTGAGTGAGACCCATACACAGTAGTTGGTTGAGGGAAGCCTTTTGCAGTTCAAAAATCTGAATTATATAGTTACAAAAAGTCTATAATGATGTAATTATTTTAAAAATATTTTGAAGGTCTCATAATAACCAAATAAGATGGTCATCATTTTAGTGGATTACTGAATGAAACTCAGTTTCCCTTTTTGTTTTTTGACAAACTCTGGTGAAGCCAGCCTGGGAAAACTAAACGCAAGACTAACTGCATGCATGACAGTTACCAAGTGACTACTGGTACTTTTTTTTGCTTTCTCCAGCTCCAGACAGGGAAACAAAATACACCTTTGTCTTAATATCTCCCAAGGTTATGTACAAACGCGTGTTTCTCATTTAGAACTACAGAGTGAGGGAGCACTGTCATTGACAGAACCATCATCCACTTTTGTTTCCTGTCATTTGAATATAGGAGGATTTATCTGTAAACTCTGTATGAACACGCAACATTTTGGCTATAATTACAGTAGCCAGGCATTCCGAAAGTAGGACTTAAGCCTTCTGCCGTGGATGAACACAAAAGCAGTATACAGATAGATACTTTTGCTTTTACCAGAAAAATTCTTAAAATTGTTTTTGGAAACTTTCACATCTACAGCACAAAATACTGAAGAGTGATCTTGCTGGGGCACGCACTTACTATTATTAAGAACAAAACCAACACAACACAACAGCAAGTCCTGTGGCACAAACCCAAAACCCCTTTCTTTGTACTAAATGCACTCACTACAGCTTTCTACCCATAAGAGCTGAAAAATTTATTTAACATGAATCATCCATCAGAAACACAATAGAGACTGCCCTCAGAAAGCTTGAAGAAAAAAAATAAATAACTAGGAATTTTAGTAGTAGTGATACTCAAACCACTACTATTGAAAGCAAAAGGTCACAAAAACATTATCTTAAAGCTGCACATACTACAATTCGTTTCAGAGATTTATTTTATTGTTCAGAACTCAGCAAGCACAGCAATGCATCTGCACATCGGTGTAGGTTTGTTGAGTAAGTTATTCAGTAGGAAGCCTGTAATGCAAGAGGACACATGGCCTCTAAGTAAGTACCAGGACTCCACGTCAGACCAGCATAGACATCCACTTAACACATGTTATTTCTGAGCAACAAGCCACTGCTTGTAGCATAATTCAGAATGCTCTAATTTGTAGAAATCCAGTAACTGAGTGTCAGTCTAATTGTTCCTGATAAAATTTTCTTTTAAAAGAGTTTGGTTTTGTCATAATTCACTGAAACCCCTCATCCTTACCACTAGTAGTATAACATGCCGTGCTTTAGTGTGGTGCTTTCTGAGCCAGTGCAAGCATTTTCCCACCAAAGCTGGTAACTGACGGGATGAAGGAGCTAACGCTGGTTTTTACCTGCTCTTACGTGCAGGACAAC